GAGATGTGTGTCACTGGGCTATATGAGCCTTGGCAATCTCTGGCTGATATCACTAATCTGTCCTCCAGGGAGACAGCATACCTGATGCATCCACAGGTCATCCCGACATAGGTGCTTCCATCCCACATGACAGGGAGTGTCCCACAACAAATTCTGTTCCTTTCTTGTTCTTGCAAGCCTCGGTATCACTGCCACTACTTGGTTGACCTTTCGCCTCTTGTTCAGTGTTGCATGGAATATCTTTCAGTCCTTCCATGGCAGGCGGCCCTTGAGTTTCATTCTCAAGTAACTGAAACTGGTTCGAGGGTTCCACTGCTTGCACTGAGGCAGAGTGTCTCCTAGTTCTTCTGCAGCTGTCACTCTTTTCCAGGGAGTTTCCTCCTAACTTTCAGCTTCTTGTTGCACTTTTAGCTCATGTTCTATTCTTGGCTGTTGCTGTTCTGTACAAATGAAATGGCATCTCCCTTGCAAATCTATTTAACTCTCCCACTGGCTTCTAAGGATTGTTTCACCAAATATTACTTTGAATAGACTTTGAATTCTCTATTTTTGCATCCATGAGGGCTAGAAACTTCGGAACACTGCAGTAGAGTAGGCCAGCACTGTATCATTATTACAGAGAAAGGGATGAGATAAAAAGGGCGGGGGTGGGCTGGGGAGCTGGTTGCCTGCCACTTTGTAAAAGCAAAGATTTTGAACCCTGGACTTCCTCGCTCATTCTCCAGTCTGTAAATTAGTTCTCTCTCAAAAACTTTCAAAACTTCCCATGGGGAAAAAGAATTTGGGTTGTTCAGCAAGGTGTATCCCACGGAGTGATAAAAATAATGGAGACCACTTAATAAAAAACATTGGCTTTTCCTTGTGGGGGAGGTTGGGAGGAAATCAGTGCACTGGGTAACTCTTCCCGAAACCGTGCTCTTTTTCTGCTTGCAAGAATGAGAACCCTTGTTATTGGGTTTGCTTTAGCCTTATTCATTCTCCCCAGAGGGTCTTAGACGAAGCAGCTGAGCATTCATATAATGCCAAATTTCAATTTGCCCCTCATTTCCCCCCTTATTCAGCTTCTAGGAGTATTTTCCCTACATAACAAGCCACTCTGTGTCACCCACTGCAGGGCCCCTGTATACGCCTGAAGAGACGTTTTTTACATCATTATAAAGGCCAATTTAGTAGCTCGGAGTCTGGCAAGAGCATTTTCCCTGATTAATTGTTTGTAGGATGGGATTTAAATGGAATGCCATAAAGCAACGATAATTATAATAATCTGAACATAGGAAAGAATTGTGATGGTGATGATGCTGGCGACCTGCTTTTCCACTATAGCTACCACAAGCAAGATAAAGCAGAGTCGCAAAACCATATACTGAAATCAGTGGAAATGCAAATACTACAATTTCCAAAAACCTTCGCAAACTACAGCTGAGACTTAAAAGCAAAGTGAAACAGAAAGCTCATGGTAGCGAGAGGTTGTGGATGTTGTTTTAAGAAGTTACACATCTACACTAGCAGCAATACAACTAGGCACTTCCTATGAAAAGCCCATTGGAAAAATATTTTTAATTTTGGACAAACATCACAAGGAAAGAGCTGGATGAATTTCAGCTCAACAGGCACTCCAGAGATGCTGCACAGCCTGGAGAGGGGCCTGCCACACTTGCTTGCTTGTATGATCCCCCAAGATGGGACCAAGCACAAGACCTGCAACAATTATCTTAATTTCCCAGTAGAACTTTAAGAGAGCATGCAGTTCCCAGGGCCTAATGAGGCTGAGGCTTTAAAGTCTAGAAATAGCACTCTGAATTGAACTTAGGAGTTAATAGGAAGTACTTGTGATCTTGCTATAAGACTGGAGGTACGGGCTCTGTCTGGGGTGCATCAGACAAAAGTTTACTGCACTTTGGACTAGCTAACACTAATGTAGCTTGGGGGTAATTGAAGTGTGGATGGTTGAAGCCCAGGTCCTTCTCATCCAAGTAAGGCGGGAGCTGCTGTATGAGCCACACCTGATAAAAAGGTACTCCCAGGCACCAACACTGCCTGAGCCTTCAGGGAAAGTTTCTGATGTAGAAGTACCCCAATGCTACATGGGCTTTCTTCCACGAGGAGCGCAGCTTCATCTAGAACAGTTTGAATCACCTCCCCTACATTATTAGTGCTCTTAGTAGTTCTTCTATCCTGTCTGGATTACTTTTCAGCTTCTTAGCTCTCATCCATGGACTGGAAAGGATCCAAATAATCAGGGTTTTTCCCCAGAATATGCTGGAGTTAAGAAGTAATTTCCTGTTTTATTGTAAAGAGTTGTGTTTCTTCATATTTTTAGGCTTAAAAAGGGGGCTTGCAAAAAAAAATTGGGTTGAGTGACCACTTATGCATGTCTCCTGCCCACAAAAGACAAAGAAGAGAAAGCTCATTTTGCATATACTAATTTGTTTGTAAAAGTGCACTTTTAGAAGTAATTGCTGGCCAATTCATTCTGCTGTTCAGCTGCTGTTCATGGGAAATTCCAAGCTTTCTGCTTGCAGTTTTGTTGCACAATTGAGATCTGAGAATAGACAAGGGGTATTTCCTTTCCTGCTTTTTCACTGTACAACCTCTAGATGGTACTGAGTTATAGTGGAATAATGTAAATACACAAGATGAAATCACTCTTTTGCTTTCACAGTCAAATGCTACATTTCCCATACTCTGAAAAAGCTACTGGGAAGTGCTGGTTAGAAATAGAAGTACAACTGGAAGGTCTAAAGAACCCATAAATAATCACGAGTTGGGAATAACAAGTGCATGTTATTGTGTAGAAAAAACTCCAATTCTTCTGTCGGAGTCTGACTGGACAGCACTTTTCAGATAGTGAAGCTATAAAGTGGAGGACTGTCCTTTGAAGTGCATCACATGGGCAGTTTGGTGTTCTTGTGTCAAAATAAGAGATGAAGATCAGGTCATTTTCACTCCTCTGATGTGCTCCTTCTTCCCCTCCCTTCCCCCACACACCAAGTGCCCATCTCAGACCCCAACCATCCAAGGGAATTGTCCATTCAGTGGACCCTTCACAATCATCAAAGGAACGTTAGCAGTCCAGTCCTGGACATACCAAGTAAGCCCTGTTGAATTTCTAGGTATGTGAGCATAAGATTGCAGTCCAGAGTCCTTTAGTCAAATTCATTCCACTCCCATCAGGTACCATTTTGAGCACAACTGATATTGCCTGGGTCCATCTAAGGTAATGAAGACCAAGTAAACAGACAGTAGAAAACTTATTTATCAACTGGACTTGTTCACAGTTTCTTTGACAGCAAATGCCTGTGTCCAGATAAATTTATTTCAGTTCAAAATCCATGTCAGCACAGAAGATGCTTTCTGTAACAAGAAGGTGAAGCAAACATCATTTGGGGCCTGGGAACCCAACTACTAATACTATAGAGCAGGTTGCTTTGAAGAAATATGTTATGCAGCGATAGGCAGCCTGAAAACAGAAGTTGCCACGTAGGATAAAAGGCTGCAGTGGCCACTGGGCATTGATGACCTGTTTTTGAAATCTGTTAAAATGATGTGAAAATGTGTTCATGGACTATTGAAACACATGAAAATGTGTTCATGGACTAATATTGATGAGAATGAGAATATTACAAAAGTTTGCTGGAGTTTAACAGTGTACCAATCTCTGCTTCTCTGGCAATTTCAGGCAGCTTAATATGTAAAGCTTTTAAAGAAAAGATTATCATTTGCATTCTGATTCGAAGGACTAGGTGTTCTCCCATGACATGAAAACACCAGGGATTTCGAAGCACAGAGTCAGTGACTTCAACCAAGCAAATTTCGTTTTCCTTGCATAACTATGATGAGGATAATTAAAAGCCCTATTCCAGGCCAAGAGAGAGAATCTGACTGATCTTATATCAGATGTTTCTTTGTTGCGGCATGGGGGAGGGGATAATACAGCATGCCATTTGACTATGTAGTGTGTAATTTCTCCGTCTTTGATGTAGGCCATTAAATGTCATCAGTGGTTTAATAGCCATCTGTTTTTTTCCTCCATCTGGAGAAACCCCACAAAGAGAATCTTTAAAAGGGAGGACATACAATTAAATTTGGTTGGGAAGGAAATCTTATTAGACATTAAAGGTATTTTTTGACCAATTTATATCCCGCCTTTAAAAAAAAAGAAAACTCCACCCTGCTTTAGGCAGCTGAATTAATATTCAAATTTGGCAAAGTAGGTTAGGTTACTAGTGATTTGACCAAGCTCACCCACTGACCCTCTTCTCACAAACAAGGGCTTTGAACCTGGGACTCTTGTATCCAGCTCCACTACACTACTCTGGGACTGGGAGAAGGAATATACAGTCTATCCCAGGCAGGGAGTATTTTTATTGAAAGTGAAGTCCATCATCACGCTCTGACCCTTTTAACATTTGTATGCTGTTCTGTAAAATGCTATTTAAGAAGCATCTGCAATGAATAAACCTACACAAATTAAGGCACAAAAGTTCTCCAAAGTTTGAAGGAGAAAGGCCTTTCCCATCAGCTGCTTGATCCTTTCAACTGGAGATTATAAGGATTGGATCCTGGTAACGTCCTTGTGCAAGTATGTGTTCTAGCACAGCATCCTTATTTGTAAATGTGTTGTTCGTTCTCTTGCAATTTGATCTACAAGTATGTAACTGACTTCTTGGAGAGTGTGAGGCCTGAGTAATCACGTGGCCTGTTCAGCAGGATGTTATTCTCTGCAATGTTGTTGTTCTGTTAGAACCAAAAAGAAGTTGACTCTCTAAAAAAGGTGTTCATTGACCGAAGCTGCCTGAATAACCCATGTTGGTAAATAGCCAATTGTTGATGCTGTTTGAGAGCCAGATCCTTACCTGGCAGTGAAGCTCACCAGGTGACTCAGGGCCAGTCCCTGATTTTTAGCATCATCTACCTCACAGGAATAGAGGATGCTGTTTGTGTAAGTCACCTTGGGTTCCTTGCAGGATAAAATAAATAAAACTCTTCTTTCTTTAAAGGGAAGCGATAAGTCGGCTGTGTGAAGCTGTGCCAGGAATACATGGGGCCGTAAAAAAGCGGAAGGTAAATATTATAACTCCTCCCCTCACGGGTTTCTGTTTTCTCTTGTATTGCTTTCTCTTTCCTGAACAATTGAAAAGGTTAGTTTCTTAGGGTCTCCCCTTTGGAGCTGTATTTTCCTATACCTTGTTTGTTTAAAACAAATAAACAAAACAGCTTTGACACACACATTGTACAGACAGTGAACAAGCAGGAACAGGCACATTCCAAAGAGACATGAATTTGCAGGGCAAGAACAACTTGTCCAAAGCTATAAGGCACCTTCTACTTGCTACTTCCAGAAACAGAACAGCATTTTCTCCCAGGCTGATTCAGCCCCTTTTCAGGCAAGTGGGTGTGTGTATTCCAGGAACTTGGAACAGCCGCTATCAGTCAAAGCCCCCTTGTTTTCCTCCATTCCACGCTCACAAAAGAATTGAGACAGAGTGGGCCACTTTGCAGAAATAGTAGCACTGTGTGCTTGTAATGGGCAGTTCAACATGGTTGAATGCACAATCAAGGAGAAGTAAGCTATCTTGAACAGTGGTGTTTGCATCTTCTTAAAACGCCCCCTATTTGGTAAGCAATCCTGAGCAGTGATGAAGAGTTGAGGGAAAGAGGAGAGTGATGCACAGGATGAATGGCAAGAGCAAAGTTGAAAGCTGACAGTTCCCTGCATACCTGCTGGGAAAACCTGTATACCTGCTATGAGCAGTTGGGATGCCAACTGGATTCACTGTGATATCAGAAATGACAATGAGGAAGACTCCAGTGGAGACTTTTTTCATCTTTTTTTGCTCCTGAACGAAAGGGAAGGAACATAACCTCCCCTGTCCAAGCACGCTGGTCCTGGATCAGGTCCCTGCATGCTTACTTTGGGGAAAAAACCCTTTTTTATTTTATTTTGTAAATGTGACAAAGCAACAAGAACAAAGGGAAACAACAAGGCGATGTCAATGCACAATTGAATGTATTATAAGCCATCCCGAGATGCCAAGGCATGTGGTGACATCATACAAAAGTTTTAAAGAAATACTATTAATAGATATTTATCTTCATATTGTAAATATACCCAGTAAGTTGCCAGTGTACCTGAATAGGTATGCAAGTGGAATTGATGGCCAAAGCCTATATATGCAGACATAATCCTGCATAGTAACGTGAAGGTGAGAAGGAATTTAGGAAATGCCACAGGTTTAATGGAACATGTGGTTTAGTCCTTAGTCCCAAAATTCAGCTGCTGGCAGGTCAGAAAGTTCAGTCTAAGCACAGAGATTAATAATAATAGTAATAATCATAGAATAGTAGAGTTGGAAGGGGCCATGAAGACCATCGAGTCCAACCCCCTGCTGTTGCAGGACACCAAATTACACCATCCCACTCAGGTGGCTGTTCAGTTTCTTTTTGAATGTCTCTAGTGTGGGAGAGCCCAGCACCTCTCTAGGCAGCTGGTTCTACTGTTGAATAATAATAATAATAATAATAATAATATAGATATTAATATTTCACTCAATAGCTGAAGCTCTATAAGCAGTTTACAATGACAGATAGAGACAATACAAAATGTAAAATAATAACGAAGACAGTATAAAAACATAATATAAAATGTAAAGGCCAAATTTAAATTTAAAAGTCAACTTTGAAAAGCTACAGTAGCGTACACATATTAAATCACAAGACCTGTTAAAACTAACTGAATTAGTTTTCTATTCAGTGCCTTAACAGAACAGAAAACTAATTGAATGCCCCGTCATATAGGACAGTCTTAATCTGGCACCAAAAAGATATCAAGGCAGGTGCAGTGGGGCGCTTGTTCCCCCGAGGGCTGCAAAGGCCTTTCTTCCCATAGCCAGGTGACCCCTGCAGAGGATGGGAAAGGTTCAGCTGTGGTGATTGGTAGCTGGTGATGTGGGGCTCTCAGCTGGAGCTGCATTCAGGCATGTGCTAGGATGCCCAAGTGCTGCTTCCCCATCACCCAGAGTGGTGCTAGGTGCAAAAAGATTCAAGTCTCAGGTCTACAGGGAAAAATAAGCACATTTGCACATACTAATTTGCATAGGCTCTAAAGTTCCTTTCTCTGTGTTGTTAAAGGAGCCCATCTCCTAGGGACACCCTTATGTGTAACAAGGAAAGCAGAGAGAAGAGCATTTGATAGCAGGTGTGGGGACAGCAGGAGGGGAAGCACCCGTGGAAGCAAAAGCCGCTCATCTAGAGGGATCGGGGGCAGCAAGAGCCATCCATCCCGGTCCCTGGACCTTTCTTTCAGCAAGTGTTACCAATAGCAGGACGGTGGGGCCGACGGCTGCAGCCCCAGGGGGCCGCCTACGAACACGATCTCCGGTCTCAGTGCAGGATGTATAGGAGCCCGGCCCTCCCTAAGTCCGCTATTGTGGCCCCAGCTGCTGCCGAATATGCCAGGACAACACAGATCCCCTTTGGTTCGGAATTCCCCACAACATGCATTTTCTTCCTGGGCCCCAGCGAGCCTCTGGGAGCCAGCTCTTCTTATTCCGTCAGGACTATAACACCCCAAAACAAAACAAACATCCACCAGCAGCAGCTCTGAATTGCACATTTCACAGACAGAAACATTTAAATAAGTGAACAAGGTCAACATTTTCTTGATTTAACATGTTAAAAAGCATATAACCAGGTTTTAAAATGTGAAGCATTTAGGTATAAAATGCTAGCCTCAAGCCACAAATGGGAATATGTTGCAATATTACACGCACACATTAAAAATACAAAATTTATAGATTTTAATGATTTTTTGAAAATGTATATATAACATTTTTAAAATTTAGATTTTAACTTTTAAATTATTTGAAAACATTTTCAATTTTTATTTTAATGTTTAAACCTATAAAATATATAAACTGGATGTGCTACTGATCATTGTCTGGTTTTCCAAGTCCTGAATTATCCACATACCTGTTAATTCAAAATGATAAGATTTGGGGATATCTAAAGCTACCCTTCCCCTGTGCCCTCATCAGCCTAGTTGTATCCCACTTCTGTGGCTGCTTTCTTACTAGTTGGGATCCTTGTAAAAGTTCACGTGGTTCCTCTAATAATAAGTATGCCTAGCGTATGCCAGAACACAGCTCCAAAGGGCCCGGGTGATGTAATGAAGAACAACCTTATACTAACTAGCTCAATTTCTTGATGAAACAGGGAGCCTAACAAATAGGGATTCTGTTGTTTACAGCCTCCGGCTAAATTTCTGTCTCCTGTGCTTGGTAAAAGTAATCTTCAGTTTTCTGGCATGAATATAAAACTGACCGTCTCAACAACCAGTCTTACTCTTCTGAATGTTGAGGCCCAACAGGTAGGTTGGCACATTTTGCTGTTCAGTATTTGGCTCAATGCCTCCATTTTGTTCCAGTGGCACCATCTGTGAAACCAGTCTTTTGCCAAACATGGCCCCAAGATGGCCCCAGTAGATGCACCATTTTGGAGTGTACAGTGGCCACGGGCTGGGGGGATGTTTGAAGTGTGGGGTGTTTCAGTGCTTAGCACAGGGATGGGATGAGAGTCTTCTCAGGTACCCTTTCTTGGAGGGCATGATGGGGGTCATGGCTGCTAACAGAAGTGGGAGTAGCTGGGCAGCGGGACTTAATGGATTTCATTTAGCCACTGCTGTCCACACACACCTTTGCCCCGTCCAAGCATTGGGTAGCCACGCTTACTGGTAATGCAAGAGGTAACAATATTTTAAGAAGCCCTTTGCTGATTGCTCAGATCGCTTTACTTAGGACCAAGCTGCACACCGTGTTAAGGACATGATTTGCACCTCGAACCACCTTCCTCCACTCTAGCAGCTCACTTTGCCTTCCCATGGCATCTGTGGCTGATTGACTCCCAGCTTGCTTGGCAGCTCAGCCAGGGATTCCAACTCCCCTTCCTTATCCGACCCCACCAAATCCTCCCGCCTCCCTTGAAGGCTGTTTTACAGGAGCAGGGGACCCAATCCCCATAGCGGTCTTGGCCACACCACCTGTGCCACTCCATAGCCACTCATGCTAGGCACAACTCACAATCGCAAGTTGTCATGTGCTCTACGCTGGTAATTGCTGGATTTAGATGGGCAGCTTACGAATTTGTTATATTTTTCAGATTATTGCCAATCACCACATGCAGTCAATTTCATTTGCATCTGGAGGTGATCCTGTAAGTATGGGCTTTGATCATAAGGAAAATATTCTGTCTAACACTGCCTAACAGTTATCTTTCTTCATCTGGGATTTATTTCCAAGTGAAACTGAAAATATTTTCTCTCGGGAGAAAAAGCTTACTGGTAGAATACTTCATCTGTAGGCAGAAGAACCCAGCTTTGGGGATTTGCAACATTGGTTTGCAACCTTTGGGGGTCTCGGGGGCCATTTCTCTCCATTGGAGGCCACACCCTTCTTTGCCACAATTGATTGTTAGCGCCATTGCTGCTATCATGTAGTGCTGCAGAGCAGCAAAAAAGGTCTGATTTCTCTTTAAAGAATAGTACAAAAGCAGCATGCAGTTTGTTGTAAAACAAAAGTGCATCCTGGGAGCCTCTAGGTGGTGAGATTTTGGTTTAAAACGAGCACATGCTTTGTCTTAAGGAGAAACCACTGTCTGAGTATTGGCAGCGATTTTGTCAGTACACCGTCAGCACCAGGAAAGGTGGGAAAGGACCAGAGCTGGATGGGCTGTTGCTCAGTGGTTGAGTATGTGCTCTGCATGCAGAAGGCTGTGGGTTTGTTCTGCAGGTAGGGCTGCAAAACCGTGCCTGAAGCCCTGGGGAACCAGCACCCACTGATGTGAAAGGCACTGGGCTAGATGGAGCAATGGTCTGACTCTGCCCATGTCGGGCAGCTCGTATGTTCCTACGAGGGCCGCAAGAAAGGCTGGGGCAGGGGATGTGCTGACCATCCCTGCTTTAGGAGGCTTTCTAAAAGCAAGGTCAGGAAAGCCAAAGTGTGACTTGGTCTAATGCAGCTTCATGTGTTCTTTGGGGAAGTACATTTGTATTATTGTTTTCATTAGTTGTGAATTAACCATAGAGGAAAACTATTTGCACGTAAGCCCAGTACCTGCAATATCACCTGTTAACAACTTGACTTGTCCCACATCACATCACCATAACCCTGTGAGTGAAATAATGCAATCTCTCTTTGGTTTAAAAAAGGCAGACAGACAGACAGACAGACGGACAGACGGAGAGGCCTAGGGCACAATCCTATGTATGTTTACACAAAAACAGTCCTGCAGCTCGCAGCATTGACTGAATGCTGTGCATTGTAGGAGTTTTTTCTGTCTAAGCAAGTACATGATTAGGTCACTAATATGTTCTTGGATGCTAAAATAAGCTATGATAAATGTTTGGCTGGATTTTCTAGAATGCAAAAATATTTATTCATTTATTGGATCAGGAGAGGGGAAATTACAGGGGCAATTTGTTGATCCTGCTGTGAGCAATTCTCTTCATTATGGTTCACCTATGTAGGAATGCATAACCGGTCCTTTAGATAGCAATCTTACCTCCATCACCATTGGAGTGTGGGAAGAGTTTGTGAGGAGGAAAATAAATATAATAGAGGGTCAAGGAGTTCAAAACCGGAGACGTTATGGAGCTCTGTTTCACTTCTCTGACCGTCTCTGTCACATGGCCATGAACTGACAGAGTGTCAAACCAATGAGCAGCTATAATTAGGTGCAGCAACCTTGGTCTGTAGGTTTGGCCAGCTAATGGGCTGTAGGTATAGCACCCAATTCTCCCAAAATACTGTATTCCAAGGTGGGTATTTCAGACTTTGAACTGGAAAAATAGGTAGGATCAGAATGCTTAGATGAAATGCCAAAGTTAATGAACTGCAAGTTAAGCCAAGCAGATGGAGAGAACCAAACAGCCTCTAGATTGGGGGAGACACTGTACATTGGGGTGGGGGTGAGAGGGGAGGAGCATGACTTTCTCAGCCAAGTGGTCCAACATCATGTCAAACAAGTGGACCTATTAAATAAGCTCCAGCCTTCCCACAGTTTGGTCTACAATCAGGGAGAACCTCCCTGAGGGTGGAGCCACTGTTATTTGGTGCAGAAGGGAAGAGAGGAATTCGGTTCAGAATCTACTGCTGGTATAAGCAAGAACTAACTCCCCAAATGAGGGGGTTTTAACTTCTATTGCTTTTGGCCTCTAACATAATAAAGATCATAGACAGAATCTTGTTATAGGTTGGGAAGGGAAAACCTAGAGAGATACTAGTTTGTGATATGTTGGAGGCAGAACAGATAGTTCACCTCCACGCAAAGGGCATCTAAACAAACTAAACTAACTATTTATTCACATATTTATATGCCACCTATAACTGCCAAAAGCCTACCTAGGCAGCTTACAACTAACAACATATTAAAACCTATTAAAAGTTAAAAGAATAAAACATCAGTACAACAAACAATATCAAAGGTCATTTGAAACCATTGTCAGAGTTTGGTGTAGGGATGCTTAAAGCTTGAATTCAGTCTTCATCTCAAAATGAACTGACATATTTTTGGGCAAATATTCAGGTTAAGAAATGATTGTCCTTTCCACATTTTGCAGTTGAGTTCTTGGCTCTAAAATGTTCAAAATTTGCATTTTAGGAAGAAATGCATACGTTGAGAAACAAACTGTTCAAAAATATTTAAATCCAATTTTCCCTGCATATTGTTTTTTTAATCACATGTTAACCTAGAAATGCTTGGATTAGTATCTGGTCTGCTTTCCTTGAAAGGAAGGAAAAAGGTCTGCTATAAAGTAGAATGTAGTCATTTAAACCCCTTAAATAAATCCTCACCTTGTACATTTTGTGTGTTTCAGGATACAACTGACTATGTTGCCTATGTTGCTAAAGATCCTGTGAATCAAAGAGGTAGGCATAAGTGTTTCTTTCATATTTGGCCTTGCTGCCAAATTATGGCACTCAACTAAAAAAAAAACAAAAAAACAACTGAATTAAAGTAAGGTCTTAATTAAAACAAAGCATAAAAACTAATCAATGTGAAACATAATTTACAAAACATGAAGCACATTTCCTGGGAGCAGCTCATATGACAACACTCCCACTCACTGGGTAGCTCTGGGCAGTTCACTGAATGTATGCCACAAGGGAGTGGAGACTCTCATCCTTTGAAGGAAGATTGGATATGAATGCAAAGGTTACAATATAAAATATATTAACCGTATCCTGTGTTTAGGGAGCATGGCGCATTCCTTATTTTATGTGTACACGTGCATACATCACGTTTCCGCCATTTTTAGATGCCAAGGCAGTAAGCGACATGGGCAACACACTAATTAAATAAGAGCTAAACACTAAAACACATGTCATTTATTTGTTTATTAGATTTGTGTAAAAGGCGTTAGCATAATGCTGTCTGGGTGGCTAATATACAATTATACATATACAATTACAGAATTAAAGGCGCCTCAAAGAACACCCGCAGTGCAGTCCTATGCCTGTTTACTCCGACCTAAACGACACTGTGTTTCATGTAGCTTACAGCCTAGTACATGTATTTAAGATGGGCATCCTAAGAGTACAGGTGAAGAACAATGCTAAAAGCAGTACTGAGAACAGTACAAAGAGGGGCTGGGCGGTTACAGTCTTTCTGTCTGCCTATACCGTATTGCTCCAATACCTGTTCTTCCCTCCCACTTCATCCGTCTCATGTGCATTATAATGAGCTTGTTTTCTATGCAGGGTGTTTTAGTTTATATTCATGAGGTCACTGAGCAAGGGTACTTCTGTTTTGTCTACGTGCCAATTCCTCCTGCTATCTGATCCCGGCCCCCTCCCACTATGGCTAAGGGATTTTCTTTGCTACATTTTCACTCTTCCTGTTTCCTTGTTTCAAAGCATTCTTTCATCCCTATCAATATTTATTGCTGCAATTTTACTACCAGTCAAAAAAGAGCAAGATGGACAACCAGGCGTGTGCGCTGTTGGGCCCAAGGAAAGGAAAGGTCAATCTACGCAAAACGAAAGGAGAGAAAAGAAACATTGTAGGAGGAGGGCCAAACTCTCCTCATGCTGCCAAAGTCCTTTTGCAAGTCCTTTCAGACAAAAAGACAAATTTGGCAACTGTTTTAATAACTGCTGGGCTGGAATTAGTCAACAAAAAAACTCAAGTGCGCCACTTGAAGGGAAAAAGGCTGTGCCCTCACAGGGGTGCAGTTCCTCCCACCCCGGAGACCCTGTGAGTAAGGTGACAGTTATAGCCTGGGGGACACTAATCCAGAGGACAAACTTATTTATTTATTTTAGGATATTTCTAGGCCATCCATCACTTTCGTCTCTGAATTTGTTTTAGTTGTTCACATAGTTTAAATGTGTGAGTGCCATTTTATGCTATTTTATTGGGGGCGGGTGGCTGTTACTGTATTGCAGAAATAGGTAACTGCCCAGAGAGCTTCAGATAATTGGCAGTATCATGCTATTTTAAAGTTCTTCCTGGGTATTTTAATAAAATAGGAATGAAGGATCAATTTCATTCATTTTTTTCTTCGGACTCGCACACAAAGAAAACATGTATTGAAGTTTTCCATACATGTTTGATTACTCTGGCCCTACAAAGGCAAAGTCATTTATTGTAAGGAATCTTCCTAAAATGGCCATCCAGACTTGTTTATCTTCTTCTTTATGGGAGGATAAACAATTCAGTCTAGCACTAGAAAAGATCGGTTGATATTTGGGAAATGAATAAGTTGCTCAAATAATTGGCATGACATTTATTTAAAATTAAAAGCCAGACCAGGATGAATCAAAGAACACAATTTACAAGCAGGGGTTATGGAATGCTATGCAGTAATAAACCAAAGATGAAGTATAGATTTTGCCTGACAATAACCTCAAGTAGAAAAACAATTATGAGAAAGGTCTAGTGGGAGAAGAAGGAAGGGTTAAACTCCCTTCCTGAACCTTGTTTGGCTTTGGGTCCTTGGAGCTGCTATTTAAAATATAAATGCATTTAAATATATGTTTTTGCATTTCTGTGTCATCTGGTTTGTTGAAGTCAGATGTTTATTCTACCAGATATGCAAACATTTGGGTAGCAAAGACATATATGATTTTCACATATATAAACATACTTTTGTCCTACTTGTGTCCACTTATGTAAGCAATCATGTGGTCCCTCAGTAAGCAGGGAAAGTCAGGAACATCCAAGAGTTCATCAGTTTTGTCCTTCAACAGCTGTTGTTTAAAGAATGGTATCAAACTGCCATCTGATGGCTAAACTGGGAAGTGTGGCTTGCAATGACTAATGGAACACATGGCCCTCCAGATGTTGGCAGCTCTTCTACGTGAGGCATTTATTGACTAGGTTCGGACAACACAGTAACCCACACTCAAGGGCTGAGTATGGATTGAGTGTAGGTTGTCAATGAACCATGGGTTACTGTTGAAACATGGATTATTTCGTTGTCTGGATCCATTCAAGGTAACAAACCATGGTGAACAACCCACAGCTCATAACCATGAGTCCTCTTCATGGGTTGTTCAGGGTTTACTTAGATCAGAGTTTGTTAGTAGATCAGAGTTCAGCAACAACCTACATTCAAACCATACTTGGTGCATGTGTGTCAGTGAGTGTACTGTCTGAGCCCAGTCATGTGCACTTGCGATTGTCTATTCATGGTTATTCACAGGTTCTTTAGATAATGTTCTGATCTTCCAGCATTGCTGCTTTTTTCCCCAGAGCACTTTCTCCTCCCTCCCTCCCTCCCTCCCTCCCTAAGAAAAGGCAAAATGGGGTATTATTTTGAAAGCACTACTCCTACTGGTGTATTTACACTGTTATGCTACAGCATTGGTCCACCTAGAGGTTATGTAACACGAAAAGCAAAAGCTCAGATCTCAGTTCCATAACAAAACTGAAGGCATTTAATGGCCTTGTGTAGAAAAGCTCTGGACAGCAACAATTTGTTTCTGTGATAATCTTAAATTGCCCTTGCTGTTTTAATTTATCTCAACATTCACACCCCGTTTTCCCCCCAGCAAAGTCTGTTGGAGCACATGGTTGGTTTGGGTGTGTGCATTCAAAGGGCCATGCTGAACATTAAGCGATACTAATCAGTAAAAGTATGTAATAGAGGGGCTGCTAGCCAGTGGGGATAAGCAAATCTGGGATAATGTTTAGCTGCGCCATTGAATTACACAGTGTTAGGCATGTTTCTATGGTAAAGCATTTTAATTTTAAGGGTGTTGACATGCCATGGGCTCTTTCAAAAGGAGTAGGCTAGAACCAAAGCAAAAGCACACTCCCCTTTGCTATGGAATTCTGGAACGGCTCTAAGCTCCAGCCACTCTTGGTATTGAACTGTCATGTCTTCTGTAACCATGAAAGCAATTTCTGTCCCACATCTTTCCCTGCGTTTTTTTCAGCATGCCATATATTGGAATGTCCCAGTGGGATAGCCCAGGAAGTCATAAATACCATCGGACAAGCTTTTGAGCTCCGGTTCAAACAGTACCTGAAAAATCCTTCTGCTTTAATTGCTTCCAATGAAAGGTCAGTGTGATTTCCCACATACGATGAATATGCGATTTGCTGTTGTTTTGCAGGTGCATGCGATGCTTGTCCCTTCATCTTTGTCCATGGCCCATCTTTTCTCATTCATCAAGACGGCCTTGTGTAGCAATCTGCACCAAATGAGCTTGGTTTCTGTTGACACTGGGCTGTTTCTGATCTTGTACAGCCCGAGTCTTCTATCTGATCATAATCACAGAATTCTGCATCAGGGTTCCGTTAGATTAATTAATAAAAAATAAATTTGGGGGTGCCCAAATATTCAGGTAACAAATATTTCATAATGTATTATTCATTTTAATACAGATGCTTAAAATCACTGGAGATGGCAAGTGTCTTTTGAAGCAGTGCCCCATTTATTTCATTAATAGGAAAGAGGTGGGGTCTCTTCTAAGATTATGTTTGCAATAGCAGGTGTGTACATAATCTCAAAACAAAATGCCTAAAGACCCTAATCTGAAGCCCTGCTTCCTGGTCTACTGGCCCTACTCTTGCGGCTACTGAGGAACAGGGATGGTTCCTTTTTTTCGTGCCCCCACATCTTTGGAAGGGCATGTGGCCCCCGTTTGGTGGCCTTCAAGAGGATGTGTTTATTCCAGTTCTCTTTTCCTTAATTTTAGTAACCTGCATTTTTCTTTGTGATTTCATACACTGCTTTATTTTTTTATTTTAGTCATCCTTCAATGATTCTTGGCTTGATTTTTTTGTGTTTTAAAGCATGTTTTGATCCCATTTGTGTGAGTTTTAGCAAGTTGGTAATCTATTACATAAATAAATACATTAAGAAATATTTTTTATCCATATCCTCATTTAAGGGATCTAAATCAATAGATTGTTCAAGTAATCAACAAACAAAACAATTCTATACACATCTAGGCTGATACAAGTCCCTTTGAGTTCAGTAGGGCTCACTCTGAGCTAAGTAGGTAGAAGATTGTATCCTTAAACTTAGACAATTATTAAGATTTTTTAATTGAGTTGCAGTCCTAAAAATAGTGTAATATTAGAAGAAGAAGAAGCGGCAGTGGCAGCTGCTGCCACCACCACCCGTAATTCTCTAAGGAAAAATTATTGAATGAGCAGCTCAGCACGAATATCCATGCTTAGCTTGTATACAGTCCCAAATTCAGACCCCTCATCTCCTGTTCAAAGGATTTCTGGTAGAAGTCTTGTGAAGGAACTCAACCTGCTGAGCTGTTGCCAGTTACAGCAATTAATATTGGATGAATGCTATGTCTCCACATATATTCATACATCAATTACCCTGCACAGGGAAATGAACAGATGGAAAATACATTTCATTTACTGCTGTGGAAATGCATTGCCCGCTCTCCAGCTCCTGTGAATCACAAAATTAAATTCTTGGATAATATCCCCCTAGCCAGACTATTTGATCTGTATCTTTTTCCTGTTCCTGGACTTTTATCAAATTAACTTCTTGTTATAAATTAAAAAGTGCAATTCATGATGAGTTGTTTTTACATGGGAGAAAGGTGGGTGTGGGGAGGACTCAAATCTAAGCTTGCAACTAAATGCATGGGCTGCAAATGGAAACCAAGTAGTGGAGAAAGACTGGACTCAAGGGGTGATTTGAGGCAGTGCTCAATAAGACAGACCCCTGAATGGAGATGCTGGTTTAAATTTGAAGAGAGTATCTGTGAGCATGGGCAAAGCAATAAACCGTAACCTTTACATGTCCCAGAACAGAAATTGGGGCTTCTATAGCAGACTCCAAGGTTCATTCTCATCTCCCTTTTTAGGAATTAAGCCCTGTTTACTACCTTGACATTTAGTTTTAAGAATCCTGTGTGTAGAAGGCCCTTTTCCAAACTGGTGCCCATCAGATTATTTGGATTTCAACTCCCATTAGTCCCAACCAGCATGGCCAATGGCCAGAAATTCTGGGAGTTGTAGTCCAAAACATCTGTAAAAGGACAGCAGGTTGGGGAAGGCTGGGGTAGAAGATGCATCATGGGAAGTGCTGGTAGATAAGGCACTCAGACATGACTGGGGTAACAGCTAAATCTGCCCTTGATGTTAGCGCCATCTTTTATTTCAGTTCCTCTCTCATCACTATACTTGGCATGTGAAACTTTCAGTTTCTTTTGCAGATCATCCCACCTAGATTTATGCAGTAAGCACAAGATGTCAAAGATTTGGGTCTGGTTCCTTTTCTGTAAATGCACCACTGCACAAAGTATAGGCTCTCTTTATTAAGCAAATTGTTCCAATCAACAACTCATTTAATGAGGGGTGCCATTTAGGAAGTGGAGGAGATGAATCAATTTCTAGGCCATATGCTATTATTTCTCAGGAAAACCTAAATTTCTGGCAGCATCTCTCGGGAAGCATCCCAAGTAGAATGCAAACAGAAGAGACAAATAGCACCGTTACAAAAATCACTCCTGGAGCAACATTGAGGATTCTAATTACAGCGTTGCACACAGTTACCAGAATCCTCATGCAAGCAGACCCATCGCGGAACCCATATCGCATCTTCTCCCTCCCACACTATGCACAGCACCCTCCCGTAGAAAAGCGCACAGATGCAACATCAGAAGCCTCTGTGACCCCCAGTTTGGAGGCCATCAACTGACTCTTTTAGGCACACGCTTCAGGGAGTCAAGACCCTCTGTGGCACCCTACAAGTAGCCCTCCTGGCAGGGGGTTCTGTTATGCCCCTACTGTGGCAGCTTGGCTTTCCTGAGTACCAGTGAGGCCTGGGATGCAGGATTTGCCTTTGAATTAGATTTGCCAGCAATACCAAGTTTCAAGAACAAGAATAGAACAGCACCATGGAGAGCTCCAGGTAGTGCTGAGGCTGGAAGCTAGATAGAGTTATGTACATAGTGCTCCCACAAGCAGCAGGTTACAAATGAGCTTCAAGTGGGGACTGGGCCTAGTTTAAGCGGGTTGGCCCTGCCACCACAGTAAGGCTTTTTCTCTTAAAGGGCCCTGACCTGTTTGAGCAGCCTCAGACTGTGAGGACATGTGAATGGCTGTGGGGTCCTGGGGTCCTCGTGACTAGAGTCCTCAGAGCCTGAGCGTGGCAATGGAACTGGCAGCGGCCAGTCTCCCCCTCCCCCCCCTTCTCAAACAGATCAGGGCAAAAGGCTTTATTTTGCTAAACTGGCCACCTAGGCTTGATCTGTGATGCAAAAGAGGAATATTGCAGAAGTCATTCAAAAAAGCCAGAATGCCAGCTATTACAGCAATGAGATCTATTCAGTTTGGAACCAGCTTGCAAACTGAATCTCCCTCTTCCTTTCGCATTCAAAAGTTGCTATTCTATCCTAGGACAGTTCCTGCTTCTTGTGGGCCAGAATCTCAAATGGTGCTTCCAGTTCTGAATCAGACTCTGAGGTGACAATCCTTTGGAGGATTAAAGTTCCTCTTGAGGACAAGGGTTCAGGGTGCTGCCCCAGGGCCAGCCAAGGAAGGAAGGGGTGCCCCCGCAAACACAACAAGTAGAACCTACAGAACAGTCTTCTTCCACCCGTAGAAAGCTTTGAGTCCACCAGGACAACCAAGTGTTTCACAAAGGCAGCATTCATAACAATGTGTGCACTGGCGTCTGTATGAGTAAAGCAACATTTTTAGGAAGAAGATACTTCTGCAAAGAAGAATTAATGCTACAATGGCCACATCAAAGGGGGTGTCATTCAGATTGCCAATCAGTTCAGTTGAAAAGAGCTATGTAATGGGAAACAAGCAAGATGGGTTTGATCTCTACTGCCAGAGGCCTCCATGGGCCACTGGTGTGAAAGAATGAGGTGGTCTCTTGTATCCACAAGTTCCAGGACTAAATCTAATGTTTAGGAGGAAGATTGCCTAGCAACAGTAACACACGCATTGGTTACTTCCGGGTTGGATTTCTGTAACGCGCTTTACGTGGGGCTTCCCTTGAAGACAGTCCGGATACTTCAGATGGTGCAAAACAGAGCTGCTAGGATGCTGTCGGGGACTGGGCATTATTCTCATATAACCCCAGTCCTCTATCAGCTCCACTGGCTTCCCATTGAAGTCTGGGCTCAATTCAAGGTGCTGGTTATTACCTATAAAACCCTTAACAGCTTGGGACCAGGATACCTAAAGGAACGCCTTCTTCCCTATTTGCCCTCTCGCCCCCTGAGATCGGCAGCAGAAGCTTTCCTCCGGGAACTCTCTGTGAATATTAGGAGGGTGAGTACCCGGAGGAGGGCCTTCTCTGTGGTGGTGCCCCATCCATGGAATACGCTCCCCAGAGAGGTCCGCCTGGCACTGTCATTATATGTTTTTTGGCGCCAGGTTAAGACCTTTTTATTTAATCAATATTTTAACAAGTTTTAATATCTAATTTTATCACCATATTTTAATTGCAGCCAGAGTGGGTCATTAATTTATTTATGTTATACTATTATGTATTGGTATTTTATTTGTGTAAGCTGTCCTGAGGCTCTCGCAAAGGACAGCATACAAATATCTTAAATAAAGAAAGAAAGAAAGAAAGAAAGAAAGAAAGTTTCAAAAGTTCTCTAGTTGATTATACAACTCCAGACCCCATGCAAACAATTTTACTCACACCACTGGCCTTCTGTCCCACTCTGAACAGCTAAATTTTCATTTAAATTCCCATACAGACCTTCCCAGACTTTAAGATCAGCCTCGAAAGCTTTGCTCTCTGTGCCATCCCCCCGGACCATTAGGTGAGTGAGGAGGGACAAGGCCTTCTTGGTGGAGGTGCCACAGAGCCAGAATTCCTTTCCTGTGTAGTCCGTCACGCACTCTCGTTGACTTCTTTTTGTTACCATTTAAAAGCTTTGCCTTCTTGACAGCTTTTCCATTTTTAGTCATAGCGTTGCCTAGCTTTCTTGTGGTAAACTGCTGCTTTTCATGTTATTATTGCAATAATTTTATCCCTTTTTATTAAAATATTTATTTTGATTTGTGTTTTGGCCATGCAGTGAAACCATTCTGAGTGCTGCACAAGCAGAGGAATGGAGAATATAAACAATAGCTTTACAGACCGATTTGAGGGAATGCACTGCTGAAAGGGACGTGCCTCATTTGCTTGTGACAAATGTGAAATGTGTGCATTTCATATGTTGGTTGCTTTTGTACAGAGATGTGGTAAACCTAGGGAGATCCACATGGAATGCTCAGGATAAAGAGGACCATGAATATTATAATGAAATCCCAGGGAAAGAGCCCCCTACAGGTGGACTGTTGGATAACAGACTGAAAGTATTCCCGGAACAAAGAACAACCAGGCCGATGCACCATGAACAGCAGCACTGCCCAGTAAGTGTGTTGAGGTGGCTTAGCAATGTACCTCGCCTATTTCGGACGAATTTCCATAGCTCCTGGAATAACTAAAACAGCAGGTTTGTTTTCTCGTTCCTCAGAGGGCAGGAGTAATACTAGTGGATGGAGGTTATAAGGAGGCACATGGGGGATAAATAGAGGAGAAACACCTTAGCCTCCTCCTTGAATGGAACCGTTGCCTGATTTCCGTGTGGCATTTTACAGTCCAGTGTGGTTGCGTGTGCTTGGAGGCCAGTGCCCTGCGGATCTTACCTGTCCCGAACTATACTGCTGGAGAAGTCAGGCGCTCAGGCCTTGCTTAAATTCCAGGGGTGCAAAATCATATGCTTACATTGTTGGAGTTTTGGCCCAAGCCAGAGGGGGGTTAACAAGAGGAGAAAAACCATATAAAACATTCAAGACACCCGTAATTAAAACGAAACTCAATGAATTCATTAGAATGAAATTCAGAAAAGTCAATGGGGGCAAATACATCTTGCAGTGCTATGAAAAATTATTAAAGAAAGCCCCAGATGGATTTCCCAGGACAGAGAATTCCACAGGCTGGGTGCTGCCAGAGAGAATGTCCTCCAGAGCTGACCCAAGAGACTTTTGCTGTCACAGAGGAAGGACAAGATGGCACAGGTACCCATCCTATCAACAGAAGCCAACTGGACTGGCAGCTGAAGCTTACTTCCAACAGTGGTGATAAAGCAGTTCAGCTCAGCTCAGCGTAGCGGGTTAGCTTGGGGGTCCAGTACAGAATTGCATGGCTCTGACCTCCAAAAAAGGGACTTGCTGGGGGATGCTCCTGTTTCCCTTCCATGCCACCCTGGGACAGGGTCACAGAGGAACAGGTGGCCTTTTCAGTACCCTAGCCCCAGGCTTGAAGAGCACAGTTTGGTGCCTGTGTTCCCACAAGTACATGAGGTCAATGGGACCTGCCCCTCATGGATATGTACACAACTGAGACATAAAACGAATACTGGTCTCCTTAATGCATTATGAGTCACTACAACAAGAACAGTGAGGACACAGTCCAGTGGCCTCTCAACATCATCTGGGAGACCATGAGATTATCTGGAGTCCCAGCTCTGAGATCCTACAATCTGAGAGCAGGGACTTAAAGGCTGAGCATGGAAAGAACTGCGCTGGATGTCTCCTTGAGGTTGCAGATGGATTTTGGAGGGGAGAAAAGGGGGCTGTGTTTGGGGGCACAGAGGGGAGGAGGCCGGGGCCATGGACTTGTTTCAGCTCCTATTGGCATCCCAGCTTCCTTCCCTCCCCAGCACCTAAACTTTTGAAAACAGCTGTCTAGATAAAAATCCGGGGGCACAGTGGCAGCAGAGATGGATTGAGGGCAGCGGGCATAGGATTGCACTCTAAATGAGTCATATGACCTAATCAGCTGACCATGATGAAAGCTTCATTCCCCCTATCACAGGGGAAGAATCTTCTTCCTTTTGTGCTCTGCATTATTGCTGGCAGCAGGCATTCCAGTAATGGGTGGGACTACAGCCAGAGCTGGATGGTGTTAATGCTGTCCAGAACACAACTAAGAAAGGCATCTTGGTTTGTTTCTTCCCCAACTTGTGCAAGGGTCCCTCTTTTTGTTTGCTGGGAAAAAGAGCAAGGAGGCATGAATAATTATGCTGAATTATCAGAGGAATGTAAAATGTCATGGTTGTACAGTATGGCTATTGAATTTGGCTAGCTTTGGTTAGTAAGTTGGGATTTTGCCTTAAAGACAGTCCAAAGGATAGATGAATGATAATCTGTTAAATAATTCTGTTCAGAAGTTGTTGCTTTTTTGCCCAGAGAACTTTGATCCAAATGCGCTTTATAGGATTAGATCTAGTTGGATCAATCAACACTGGTTAATTTCTACTCCTTTCAGACTGAGAGTCCCAAAACCATGAATATATATGAAAACTGCCCAGAAGAACAGAAGCCGACAGGTAAGTAGCCTGTATCTTCCTAAGAGCTCATTTACAACTTTCCCTTTTGATAAAGGGATGTGTAGAAAGAAGCCCCATTCTGCTGGCAGTCAAACCTACCACTCTCTCTCCTGTCCTGGTGATCCAGAATGGGAGAGCTGAGGAGCCCACAGCAAGCCCGATGCTTAAGTCGTGCCTTTGCTCACTCACTTCTTTAGGAGCCACCTGAGAGAGACCAAGTCAGACAACTAAGTACTGGCAGCAATGAGCTGCTGCTGTAGTAAGTTGGAAATAGTCCCTTACGTGTATGGGCAGGTCAATGAGGTGCAAGGGCTCCAACCCTTCCTTTTGCACTTCACATGAAATATGGGCAAGGAATATAAACAAGCCAAAGAAAGCTCACCTTCCCTTTATCTCTGGCTGTACTGGTTACCCGAATAGGCCAGGGGGGCTCCATGGTCCTCCAAAGTGGCCTTGGTGAACACATCTGTTTTTTTTTTTTTCCTTTGGATTGAGAACAACTCCCCCAATTCTTGCAACCATTTATATAGTTACAAGCTTTAACCCCACCTTTGTGGGGGACAAGGTGGTGGATGAACCTGTTTCAGGAAGGCAAATAGCTTCAATCTCATAGCAAAAGCAGCTTTTATCTGCAGGATGATTGGGGAAAGCAGCTCCACCATGTCTGGTGTAATTCCTAACAAGGTGAAGGCCCCAAGACCTTGGCGTGGCATCAAAGAGTTGTCTTGAACTTTGGACACTGGGAAAGTTCACTATACTACCTGTTGGAGCTTCATAATCTCACCATTCTTGTTGGTTGGTCTCAGGGTTCCATTAAACACACAAAGATCAGGTTAATACATCATGACCTTGGGTTGGTTTTTTTTTACTCTTGTTGATCTGTTGTTTTATCCATTCTCAGTTGTAGAATTTTGGCATGGTCTGTTTGGTTTCTGAAAAGTGCAAGGAAAATGCTTTGTTGCATGGTTTCCATGCTTTACCATGGCTTCTTGGGACGCCCAGTCCCGGGGGAGCCATTGTTCCGTTCGTGGTGAAAAAACATTATTATTTTTATTATTATTATAACATTTCTATGCCGCCCCTTGCCAAAGCCTCGGGGCGGCTTACAACACAATAAAATACATTGAAATACAATAGAACATAATAAATTACCACTAAATACAAAAATACAAAAAATACACTGAGATACAAACATAATAATATAAAATTAAAATTAACAGTATAAAATAAGTAAATAAAGAATATAGGAGGAGAAAAGAGAAGGAAGAAGAAGTTGCCCTGGCCAGATCATATATTTTAACAATTAAAATGATGTTTAAATAAAAAGGTCTTTACCTGGCGCCGAAAAACCAGTAACAACGGTGCCAGGCGGACCTCTTTGGGGAGTGAATTCCATAGGTTTCACTCCATAGGACTCTACAAAAACATTTTAGAGTCCTATGGAAAAAAGTGGCAATGGAAGGGGCCACTCTAGGCATCCAACCTCTACTATGAACAGCTCTCTAACAATACACACTCAACACTTGTTTTGTTAGCTGAGCTGCTCATCATCCTGTTTACTTTCAGCAACAGCAAGAAATGATGTCCATGCATGGAGAAAGAAGGGGAGAATCACAGCAAAATTGTTCAATGTTTAAAAAAAACCCTTGGGGCTGCTTTTCCTGAAATGGATGGCAGCACTAAAAAGAAACATCATAGCTTAAAAACCCTTTCTTGGCATTAATGCTGGACACATTTTCTTGCTTATGTCTTGGTTGGGTATGTTTGTCAAATTTCAGTGTTTTACATGCCATTGTTGTTTTCCCTCTCATTGGAAACAAATTTCTTCCTGTTGCAATTTACTTTAGATAATTGCAGTGAGCCGGTGCAGACAGCAAGGAAAGATACTCCACTGCTGAAAAATGCAAGCAAAGGGGATCTTTTTGATGACCCTCGATATATCAACACACAAAATTTGCAAACGACACTGTGTACCACTAGCGGCCTCACATCAGGACAGACCTGTGGAAGTCCAGTTCATGATTCAAGTAAGTTCATATTCCTGCAGTATTTTCTTTGGAGCTTTGATAGATATGTGAATGCTTGTAACAGGTTTCTGAAACAGGGCTAAGCATCTGTTTCTGCTGATTTGAGACAGGCAACGCCAAGTTTAGAAAACAGGCAGTGAAAACAGATGACCATGAATCTGCTCCAGATGCCCTCCTTGGGAATATATGCTATTTATCAGCAAAGGGGGAGGCCTTTCTTGGGGTGGTGCCAGGACTTTGCAACAATATTCCTAAAGATGTACATCTAGCACCAGCATTGCATTACAATTTGGAAATGAAACCCATCTTTCTCCATATAATTTATACAATTGATTTATTTGCCTTTATTTCAAGGAAGTACAGTTCAGCAAAAAAGTAGGAGAAACATCCTCATGGGAAGAGCTATTTCACAGTGCAGCACACTGCCTCGGGAGATGGCAGGCTCTTTTTCATGGCAGGTTCTTCAGAAAAGGGTGGATGGGCCACCTGGCAGCGATATTTCAGTGGCATTCTGCAGGGGTTGGATTAGATGACCTTCAAAATATCCTCCAACTCCTTGGCTGCCGGTTGATGGCATTTTTTTCTTTTTACAAAGCATGCACTGACCTTGTTCTTTAAAAAGAAAAAATAAAAAAAAATAATTAAACTTATATAAGCAATACAATTAATAATGATTAACACAATTAAACACTACTAATAAACATAATAAAACAATACAATAATACTCCACCGGGATCAACAAATCATGCCACTTAATGTAAGATCATTTATTCATTCAGGTTGCCCCACTCCCGCCTCCCTTCCAGAACTGCATTGACTCAATGACCTTGTTCTGATCCAAGCTTGCACTCTTTAACACAGATTAATTCTGCCTTCACTGCTGAAGGATTCTAAATAATTATAGCTTTAATGTGCTCAATATTGAATGTACCTTTTGCTTTGTAAGTACCTTTTGCTTTGTAAGTTTGCTTTTGCTTTGCAAATTTAGAATAAATCTGTGAATCATGAAGGTTCTATTTAATAATAACCCCTGAGTTTAGATCATGTTTCTTTTTGCAGCAAAAGGCAACCTTCTGCACACACTGGGAGATTTGTGAAAAATTCCCAGGCACAGCTGTAAAATAGGTGGGCATGGCTAGCCAGAAAGGAAAGTAAAATGCCCAGAACCATTCCTGGAAAATTATGGGTGCAATCTTATTCATGTTTAGGCAGAAAAGATGTTACAGTTCCCAGCATTACCTTAGCAGCATGGGCTGGCTGGAAAAGCCTGGGAGTTGTAGGATCTTATTCTGTTTAAATATGCACAAGATTTTACCCTAAGATGACAAAAAAGTTCCCATTTCCCATGATAAAGTTCCTATTTCACTTTGAAGCAAACTTAGTTGCCAGTAAAAAAGTTTAAAAACACCCATTTAAGTTAGAGATGAGAGAAGTCCTACGTCTCCACGGGCAGGTTTTGGGCCCCATGTTGTCTGTCCGCGACTCAGTGGCTATTTGTTTGAGGTGGAGCTGTATAGTGTGGGTTACTCCCTAGTCTCTTCCTCTGAATTTCAGGACCATTGGAAACTGTTGAGCGGGACCTTTCCAACAACAGGGAAGATCTTGGAGGCATCACAGGCCCAAAACCACAGCTGTGGAATGAAGAATGTTACCACGGAAAGTTAACCAGGAAGGCCGCCGAAAGCCTCTTGGTGAACGATGGGGATTTTTTGGTACGAGAAAGTGTGACATCTCCTGGCCAGTATGTTCTGAGTGGGTTGCAAGGAGGTCAAGCAAAGCATCTGTTGTTGGTGGATCCTGAAGGCAAGGTAGGCGCCCCGGATGACATGGATGCCGTGTGAAAATGAGAGGGTCCAAGGACCATGTACTGATGCTGCTCAGGAGAGGACCATGGGTGGGCAGATAGGGGAGGTGCCGCCAGTCAGAGCAGGATAGTCTAAACTGCCCTGTTTTTCTACCTCCATTTCTAATGCCCCTTCCTTCTCCTATCCTAAAATAGATTTTGCTCCTCCTCCATTGTGTGAAACCGCACAAAGCACCTAGATCTGGAAAGACCCGAAGAATGGAATGAAATATTATAACAATCTCACTCTGTGCCAGGGGATTAGACCTCTCTGAGTCAAATTCTGTTTTGGAGAAGCTCTTGGTCACATTTCAGTAGTGGATAGATGCCTGCCTGTGTTACCTTAAAGCACTTACTGTCAGCATCTGAGCCACAGTTGAACCATTTCTCCTGAGAAATGAGCTAGGATATGAGGAATGAGCATAATAGCTGGAATGCTGAACCAGAGATGCAGGTTCCCGTCCCTGCTCAGCCATGAAGCTCCCTGGCTGCCTTTGGGCAAGTCATGAGCTCTCAGCCTAACCTTCCACACAAGGCTGTTGTGAGGATAAGATGGAGAAGAGGAGGATTATGTAAGCTTCTCTGGGTTCCTTACAGGAAAATGTGGGATATAAATATATTAAATAAATTCATCTCTTTAGAATTTATGGGTGGGGTAAAGTGGGTGGGGCCACCGGAAGGATGCGTGGTTGTCTCAAGAAGCCCAGAGATCCACAAATAGATCCCGGTGGACTAGATTTACATTCTGCTCTATATCCTGGCTCACTAATAGCAAGTGCATAGTTTGCACTTACTTGCCTTCATCTGTGTTCATCTAGTGATAGACTAGATTCCTACACCACTTTATCAGTTCACAAAGGATGACTTATCATTGGAAACTAATGATGATTAATTTAAGTTTTTGCTTCCTTTTCCAGGTTAGAACCAAAGATCACGTATTTGACAGTGTGGATCATCTCATTCGCTATCACATGGAAAATAAATTACCAATCATCTCCTCTGGAAGCGAATTAAATCTGAGCCAGCCAGTAAAGAAAGGGACTGGGCCCTTGCAATATAACAAATAATTTTCTTGGGTCACATTATTTTCAACACAATTCTTTTTCCTAATAAACTCCAGGGATCATTCTGAAATTTGGTTCCAAGGAATCTAGACCTGCAAAGAACAGGTGGCGCTTCTAGAAGATTTCTTCGCGCGCGCGCGTGTGTGTACATATGCCTATGTGATTATCTATTTGCATCTATACATTTCCATCTTTGATTGGCTAGAGCAGTTTAGCTTAGCAAAATGAAACCTCAGAGAGTGATGGATTGGGGAGAAATCAGGCACTGGAGTCACCAAAAAAAAGGAAGAATTTTAGAATCAGTAGGAAATGAAAAAGCACAATCAAACTTTCACAAGCAAAAGAAAACCTGACTTGAAAAACTGCTGGGATATTAGTATGTGCCTTTAATCTAGGAATTTTAGAGAAATAAACTATTTCTATTGGAAATATTTTGAGTTAACAAATTAATTTGTGTAGATCTAAGAACTAATTACAAAAAAGTAAATCTGAAAAGGACAACCAGGCAGACAACTTCCATTATGATACGGCTTTTTTGTTGATACTCACACTTCAAAACTCACTTTCTTCATTAATGATCTCATCAGTTTTGGCACAATGTAGGAGAAAGACCATAGCTTAAAAGGTTCCATGCAAAATTCAGTAAGGTATAATTAGTTACTAGCATTAATATTATCATCCCTCCATTTCTCTGTTTGGCCTAACTATAGCTTTCTCATTTTCTAGTAACTGCAATGTTGGCAAAATTTAATTATGTAAACTAAGTAAAAGTCTAAACCACAAGTTGACACTGCTTGATTTAGGTTTGCCTTCAAAAAAAACTAGCCTTGCTCCTATGCCTTTAACAGTAGTACGGCATGTGTTGTATGCTTAAGTGATAGATGAAGCTCTCTCTGCTGAATTTCTGCATGTCAAACTACTGTTGAAGGCAGAACAGCTGAACTAGAATAAGCCTGAAATTAAAAGGATGGCAAGCCCAGTTAGAGAAGTCTCAAAGACCACTTTACTAATATTGTCAGCAAACATCAGAAATAACTTTCATTCTTAAATGGAATTATGTTTACAATGTAGAGATGCTAAATGAAACCAGTTATGTATTATTTTGCAGGGGAAGTTATTTTAAACCAGTATATATATATTTTTTCTTTTTTAACTTTGCATCCAGTATGCTTTTTCTCTTCCATGCCAACTGTGTGTGGTCCTCTCTGTTCTTTTACAACTCATTTGTTTCTAAACAATTAAGATGTGTTTTATAAATAAATGAATATACATGCTGCATTGTCTCTGTACCTGTTGTCAGTCTGAAATATTCTGTACATTAACATATTCTGGAGTGATCCTGTAATTTATGTATAAAGGAGAACAAGTATTTGGAGTTCTGAAAAGATGTCACTTTTGAGCAACCATGAAGTAAAAATTACTGAACTCGATGTGTCTGCATGTCACATTCGGCTAGGTAACCTGGTTTAATACACCATGATATGAATGAGCAGCATGTTAGCACTTCCTTCCTGCAAGTGAGTAAATAACCCAGGCATGGTGGATAACCGGAACCCAGGATTATGGCTAGGTCCTTGCAAAAACAAACAAGCAAACAAAAAACCCTCCCAGGATTTCTCAGTGAATAATAAACACTAGGTTAACCTTGGTCACCCAGTCATAATATGGGATTCAGAAGTCACACAAGCTAACCCCTTTCCTACCTGCTGACCCAATCTCACACAGCAGAAGCAAATGGAATTTATGGATCAGCATGCTGCTCATTCCGTTTTTTAAAAGCCAGGATTCCTGACTTAGAGTGATGTGCAAATATGGCCAATCGAATTTACTTTTAAGAGTACAGAGGACTGCACTGCACATGGTATTGGGTAAGACTGGAAGGGAGAGTTTTCTCAGGGTATCTTCCTTTTATATATGAGCACAATGCCATCACACTTGGAAGCTGACAGAATAGACAGCAAGTCTCTCCTAGGGTTCCCAACTCTGGATATTTGAAAATCAAAAATGAGGAATGAATTTAGCTTTTAAAATCATGACATTTGAAAATAAATTTTGTCTGTGAAAATGCTTCACCTGTTTCTGATCCTTTACAATGCAATACTTGTCAGATTGCCAAGCTTATAACTTAAATACTTTAGCAAGCCTCACAACTGGAGACAGCTTGTTTGTCTGATCTGCCTGTACAATCATAGGCTTATTTATAGGGGGATATGATGCCCTCTGGTTAAGGACAGGAGGACACTGTAGAACACCTGACATTTTGGAGCAGAATGGGAGTTGTAACAATCTGGGGAGCTCTCCTTGCTTTGGATTCCAGCCACTGGATCCAACTGTCCCTTTCAACCACACTGTGGACCAAAAGTAAGGAACCTCATGCCTATGGGCTGTATCCAGATCCGAGCATTCCCCCATGCCCACATTCTCTTTCTCACGACCACAAATCATTCGGTTTCCTGGTTTTTATATAGTGTCTACCCACCCACTTCTAGAAGTTTGAAATGCTGTTGTGAGGCTTTGCTTCTGCTAGTGTTAACCTGAAAATGTGCGGGCATTTTGACGCTGTTCCTTTTGCCTTTGGTCCTGCCTGCCACTGGAATGTGGCCTTGAAGAGGTTCTCTAGAAATGAATTCTTCAGAATTCCCTTAACTCTGCAGAATTCAGCTCTCGGGCTGAAAGAAGTTTTCCGTTCCCACTGAGCTTGCTCCGTCCTCATGGCTCTGCTTTGGAGAGGCCATTTAGTATTATCCTCAGGTACAGAGGTGAGAAGAGAGGAAATTGAAGTTCTTCAGTTCATGGTCTTCATGAAAGCAGCGACAGGCAGTAAGTGCAAAGGGCTGCTAAGGAAATCAATACCTGTACAGGGTAGAAAGGCACTGGCTCGATTCTCATCCAACTAAATCACGTTTCATAATCGGTTCCAAAACAAAAAGGCCTGCCTGATAAAACCAACCCGTATAGCTCAGCATCGTCTGCATCAGGGGTAGGGCAATCAAAAAATAATCAATAAATTCCTGGAGGGCCAGCAGATGCCCTCAGTCCTGGAATTCCCCAAATCACTTCCCCTCTCGTTCCAAATACTCGTATTCCGAAATAACAGAATAGCTGCGTTCCGGGATCGGCCGCCACGTGCCCCAACCCGATTTCTCCGCAGCTCCCAGGAGCCCTTCGGTTACAAGCCCGTCGAACTGGAGCGCTCCGGGCTACAGTCCCGATGCCGGCCCACCGCTCACCCAATTGGCTGAAGCCTCCAGCCAATGGCCGAAGAGCTTTCCCTTTCCCGCCGCCATCCGGCGCCAGCTTTCAAACGGAGGAGAGCGCGCAGCGCAACGCAACGTGGAAAAGTGGGAGACTTTCAAGTCCCGCCTCTTCGCCTCCCTCTCGTCTCTAAGATCCGCGTCTGTAAGGAGCATCTCTCTGCTGATTGGTTGTATTTACTTTCCATACTCCGAAGACGATTCGCTGAGCGAAAGGGAGTTCGGTTGTCACGCGGAAGCGGGGCGAAGGAAGGGGCTGCCTTGAGGGGGACGGTCCGTTGCGGGAGGACAGGTGAGGTGTCTGGGGACCGCTGCTTCGTTGCGCAGGGGGGCTGAGTGGAGTCCCTGTCGGCCCGCTTGAGTCGGAGGGCGCCTCGGCTCGGAAAGGAGGGTTGGTGGGGAAGAGGAGCCTGTCGCGTCGTCATGGAAACGGGGCATCTCAGGCCTATACCTTGCTTTCTGCAGGCCGCCCTGCTCTCGCTCACTTTCCTTTCTTGTTGCCTGTCTGCCAGAATCGGGGAGTTTCAAATTTGCGTATGCTGTTCATGGAGGGCTTTCTCACTGAGGACTACTAGCTCTCACTCTGCTAAATAGTAGCACACGCGCTGTTATTCCTCAACCTGCTAGAGAGCGCTTTAATCCGAAGCAAAAGTGGGCTTTTGTATTGCTGGCTTTGTCTGCTCAAATGTAACCAAGCATGTAGGTTCCTCATGTTGAAATCCTAGTGACTTGTGACACAATCCTATGCATGTTTAGATTGAAAAAAGACCCTGCAACTGCCAGCAATGCTGGGATTTTTTCTGTCTAAACATGTATAGGATTCTGCCCATGCTTGGGAATAAATCTTGCTGAACTCTGTGTGGCTTGCTTTTGCATATGTGTTGCTTTTGAGTAGTTGCCCAACGTTCTGCTATAAAGTTGTTGTTACACTATACACCTATGCAGAGAACTTACATTCCCTGAATATCTTATATACATCATTTACCTAGCTAAAACGTTTTAGGCAACTTTCTCTACCTTTTGAAGCAGCCTACAAACATTTAACATTTTAAAACAAAGCAAACAACAGAAACAACATCCAGAGACTTGCACAAGATGCCTAACAAAAATTCTACCTTTCCAAACAAACCCAAAAGTTACCTGAGGAAGATGTCCCATTCTAAAGGCAAGTAAGGAGGTGCAGCTCTGTGCATTGGGGAAGATATAAAGTACTATACAAGATTTAAAATATACTGAAATCCCTGGAAAAATGAGATCTTTCCCTGATTCCAGGAAGGCCACAATGTAGTCCAGATCAATTAGTTTATACTTTCAACTATTACTTTCAAGAATAGTTGTACCATAAAGTGCTACTCCTTAGGAATTTGCTATTGCTCATGGGAAATTGATTTTGATGAAAAGGGAATGTATGATAAATTTGGTTGGGTTCAATCTTTGAAAATAGTTTTAACAGGAGCCAGCTTGATTATTTTGAAGTATTCCTGAACATGTGAACACAGAGTAAAATGAGGCAATTATGACATGTATGTGCCTTTAGAAAGTCCCCCGAAAAGCAATAGCTTGGTACGAGTAACAAATTTATTTATTTATTTATTTATTTATTTATTTATTAAAAGTTTGTCGATTTAGATGTCTCAGTAGGGCTAAAGCTCAGATTTGCTGTCAGTGTCTGTCTGATGGAACTTTTTCAGCAAAGCTTTATTTATTGAATTAATTGCAAGTGGAATTGTACAATTTTTGTTTTTCACCAGGTGGAACAAGAAGAATTGTTCAAAAAAATGTCACTTGACTTTGACAGTGCAGCTTTACAAATGCAGCATGAAGATGAAGAATATGACCAGGAGGATTATGCTAGGGAGCAAGAGGTAAACAAATCAATACTTGGCCAAATTTCAAGATTTTAATTCTCTGTTTATTTCTCTTACATGGGGTAGGTGTTCTCAGTACACTGGAAATAAAGCCTGAGTTGTGAAGCTTAGGACTATGATGTAGATGACCTAATATATCATTTGTGCAGCTGTAATGACAGGCTAAGTTTGTGAATTTAATATTTGAGATCCAGTTCAGAATGAAATATTCACAACTTTAAAAAATCTTGGTAAAACCTGAAATCTGAATTAAATTGACTTGGGGCCTCAGTTTGCTTTTTTACTGTTTGTTTGTTTTTAACCTTGCTATCAATATGTAGATTGAGATGGAAACAAGCCTAAGAAGACTTAGGTCTGATAATGCGTATTTGAAGAGGAAATTGGAAGTTTTCAGTTTGTTTTATCCAAACCTGACAAACTGTGGTTAATTTTAATTATGACTTTCTTCAAACAAGCCAACTTCAAACCATGGCATAAGCTGGCTTGTTTCAATACACTCTAGTTAAGTTTAACCACAGTTTAGCATTTTGATGTAATTGTTAAACTGTGGTTAATCAAACGAGAAATGAAGGCAACTTGCTCTTTTGTTCTAGTGACTGTTGGGTGGCATTCCCTCCATTTGAAAAGCCATTTACCATGCATAATGGGTAGCTGCCTTTTTTTTAAGTCTAATATTTGTTGGGATCCCAGCTATACACTTACTTAGGCTTCATTTCACTGAAGGCACTATCCAAGGCTTTCAAATGATACTTTTGGCTTTCAATTACTTTATTTTATGAAAATGGCCTTCCAGTATGAGCAGTGTGCAGGATGAGTGTGAAGCTCATGGATTACATATAATGTCTGTTAAGCTATTTGTGCTCATCATTGTACTGAGTCATGAAAGAAACTGAAAGTAACATGTAGTCTGGCCATAACACCCTTGATCTTATCTCACCCTGTAGATTTGACATTCTTAACCTTCATAATTTTAACCTCTCATTGAAAAGCGAATTGTTATATTAACCACCTTTAGGGGGAAATAAACTTTCTTCTGTATTTCTGATATTTTATTTTTATATCTGTGCATAAAATTTCAATACTGGCCAATAACTGAAGTCCTCTGAGGCAGTTTGGTGTTAAATACCAAGGAAACAATTGGTACAGCTGTCTTTTTAAATTGATGTCTTTTTAACGAAACTTGTTATGCAGGTTTTTGTGGTGAAGCATACCTGAGGCTGAAATTCTCTGAATGCTTAGTGGGACTAAGCTCCAGTGAATGTAGTGAGATTTACTATTACCTAGAACTTAAGCTTGTCTTGTATAAAATTCCATGTTCGGACATCCTGATAAACAACTCAGGGACACAGCCCCTGGCTCTTTCATGATAACCCAGGACTTAACAGTCTCCCACATCCTGGGTCGACACAGTACAAACCGGTCTGCTCACCTGACCTACCTGCTTCCAAATGCTGTGCTTGTTGTAATTACGATGCAGTAACACTTCTACCAGGAATCATGCCATTTACTTTTTATTCAGGCTAATGCTGTTGTCTTGGGAAGGGAAATTTCTACTGACATCATAATCTTCTTGAATATACCTTGAAGTCTCATGATGTCATCCAAACAGCTACTTATTGGTGCAGCTGCTTAAAAACTTTAAATAAAGCATCTGTCACTTGTTTTATCTAAAGCTTCTGTCCATGTTGGGGCCTGCTGCTATAATGGAATTGTGGATAATTATGTCTCTTATCTGGAGTATTTAGGAATGTGGGTGTCTCCCCCTAATGTGTGGAGAAAAGTGTTCTGTATAGTCCTTCAGCGTGTGTTTTCTGTAAGTTCAGCTTTATTTTATGATAGAAAGGATGATGTTTGAGATTGCCTGTTGCACTATTAACTTACAGGGGGAAATAAGAGATTTACCCCTACAAGTTCTGAATAGGTTGGTTGCAGGGGACTGGCTGTCTTGAGAATATGGTCGTCTTGGGGCAAAAAAGTGGCCCAAGAGACGCTTTCCTGTTATGCTTTCAAATAGTTTATTTGGCTTTCTCTTTAATTTGCATAATCAATGGTCAATGAAGGATGGAAAAGCACTCTCTTTTCTATGTGCCTCCTCTTTGCTAGTTCCTTTCATAATTCCATAGAAGTATATAGCTCAGTAGAATTAACTGGCATGATAGCTTGTCAAAAAGCTTTTTAGTTCTAATTCAAATAAAATGGAATCCTCAGATCATTCATTTATTTGAATTAACAAACTTCTGTTCTGTGATTTCCTCTTAGACTCATAGAATAGTTGAGTTGGAAGGGGCCATGAAGGTCATCAGGTCCAACCCCCACTGTTGCAGAACACCAGTTTACACCATTCCACTCAGATGGCTGTTCAGTTTCTTTTTGAATGTCTCTAGTGTGAGAGAGCTCATGACCTCTCTGGGCAAGTGGTTCCACTGTCATATTGCTCTGACAGATTAATAAATCTGTAGTGCTTATCATTTTAACTAAGCATTGGCCATACAGGTACTCAGTATGTTTTAGTTTCCAGGTATTTTAGATTCCAGTTATTCAACTAATTCTAAATCACCACCAAATATCATTGTTACTATTTTTCCATAGTTTATATTCCAACTTTCTGTAGCAAATAAACTGCTTAATTAGTGACTGGAAGGTGGTCAAGTTGCTAGCTCTTATTCTTGTTAAAAAGAGTAGAGGAATTTGCAGGGCTGTGCAACTAAGAATAGTTTGAGGATCTTTTGTTTATGCTCAGTGGAACTTCAGCAGATGAGCTGAAGCTCATCTATACTAATGAATTGCTTAAGGGTTCATCTCTGGGTAGTGCTGAAGGCCTAGTTTGTATAATAATAATTGCAAACATAGTTGAATAATAAGTTGATTGTGCATCATATTGGATGTATAATCTTAGACATTAAGCACTGTTGCTGCAATATGTGCATATATCTTGTTAGGATATGATCATAAGATATTCTTAATTGTCATGCATAAAAGCAGAAGTATAGTTTTCCTGATGATCTTGCTCCAGTTTTACTGATGTATTTACTGCATTCCCCTGAATGTGAGGGTGTATTCCTGCTTATCATTCTATTTGATTCTGCTCTAATTAACAAAATGTATAGCCCTTGTTATTTGGGCTCTGAATCATGATGCAATAACTGCTTATTATTGTGTACAGTTTTCTGGTAATCTTGTGAGAAAAGGAAAATGTACTGCAAAGATGTTTCAGTTGAGATCCATTCTATGTACCAAAACCTCACTGAAGGTTTGGAAGAGCAGGTACATTCTATACAGGATTCCTTGCTCCACGTAAGTAAAGAAGACTTTTTAAATTTTAAGTTGTTAAAACATAACTCCCACAAAATGAATGGTTGAAATGTAAAAAGACTGGAATGACTAGGTGTTTTGTGAGATGTAAAGATGTTCACTTTTCCAAAAGTTTGAACATAACCTGCACAATATTTTGGCTTTGTCGAAGGCACTTGCTTAAAATGATGCAAGATTGTTTGGCAGCACTGAAGCTTTTTTTTAAGATGAAGTAACATTATTATCATCTGTTCCAACCTTGAAAGAGAACTGTAGGATTTATCTATTCTCAAGTTACTGTAGGTTTCACTGGTTACCAGTATAATATTTGTGATTTTTCCCAGCTAATGCTCAGGAGAAACAGTGCAGTGCTAATGATGGTTATTCTTAGAAGTCTGGGAGGCTAAAAGACTTCAAGGAGTTGAGAGGAACATGGGGTGTATTTGTGGGTTGTGTTCACATGGCAACCCATCCTGTGAATAAGCTGGGGAACAACTCATAATGCACTTGACAAATGATTGGGCTTGCCATGGGTTCCCCCCCGCCCCATTCTTCCTGCTGGTTTCCTTGTCTCCCTGCTGTGAAACCATTTGCAGTCACCTCCTGCAATTTCTTTTTCTTTTCTTCATTTTGAATATTGCTTTTTTGTGATCTCTGAGCTGTCAGTGCAGCCCCTGCAAAGTGCACCAGTGATGCATTGGAGTGGCTGACACTGATCAGCTTGCTGTGTGTGTATTTTTCCCGAGTTGTTCAAATGTTTTGGTCGTTTCATTTTTTGTATCAATTGTTCGTAGTTTCACACTTTCAAAATTCTTGCTGTGCCAAATACAGATCAGTGCCCCAGATGATGTGTGCCATCAAAGTACAGGAGGTATTCTCTTGGGATACTGACAAAGTAATGCTACAAATAGGTTCATTTGTTGCTTCTCATCTGACAATTGTGAAGTGAAGTTGTGAAGGAATCTTTGCTGGTGAAAGGGGGTGATATATTGTTTACCCCCTTCCATTGAGATCTTCTAGGGGTTTGTCACTGTTTTCAGCTCCCTCCATCTTTTCTACCATTCCCTGAGACTCGAGATATTTGGACAAGTGAGACACCCTTTTTACAGGAGCATAGAATTTTAAGGTCTAGCAGCCTTTCTCAGGCTTCCTTTGGACAAGGGGAATTTGATAGGGTGGATTAGGGTTTATTTCAACAGAAACCTAGGCATATGGACTGGCTGTCATTGGCAGTGGTTCAGGCAGGCTTGGGAAGAGCACCAAAGGGCTTTTACGACTCTTGCCAAGCTGGCTGCTAGCCAATTCCCAGTACCCATGGTGGAATTGGTTGTTCGAGTTTGGATGACACACCAACCTGTTAGGAGTACAACAGCCCCTACTGCAAGCCATGGTTGCCACAGAGGCTTGTTGCGTACAACCAATCCACTTTGGGGGAAGTGGTCTCGGTTTGGGCAAGATGCTAACTCAATGTGACTAGTTACTTGCAATGGGTTGTCACGTTGTACAAACCCATTCAGAGTGTGGTAGTGGCCCTGGGAATGCAAACAGGTGTGGAGCCGGGGTGGGGGAGGGGGAAGCTCATGCAAGTGAATTGGGGTTTGGATGACTTACTGCCTTTTATTATTTTCAAGACTGAACTAGTCAGTTATAGGCAGTCACTTTAACTTCAGCCTTCTGATTCATGACATTTTTTCTGATGTGGTACTTACTGCTGAACAAGTTGATCGATTCTGATCTTACTCTGGCTGAGTAGCAGCAGTCAAAACATGTCTTTCAAAGGCACAAGTGTGCCAGTCTCATGCAACAGACTCCCATTAATGGTTGTGTCACTGTCATGATTCCCTTTCTTTCTACTTTCATTGTCTGTATGAGAGAATGTTCTTTTCTTTTTGTAGAAATGGTCATGGCCCAAGGGAAAAAAATAGTGTCCTTGAGATTCTGTGATAGCCTTATTGTAACTGTATGGATTCTCCCAAACCATGTAGCTTGCTTTTTCCACAAACTAATTCTGCTGGTATTGAAGGTATCAAAAACTCCTCTGGGTATATAGAGATGCTGAGATACTTGGTTGATAAGTATGCATTCCATGTTTACTTAGTTACAAGATGTCTTATTTTAGTTGCAGCAGCTGTTGACAGACCTTCCCCATGATATGCTGGAAGACAGTGGAGACCATCTCTCTGACTATAGTGTGGCTGAGGACCATGAGCAGTAAGGAACTTAAGTCTTATTTCCTCTGCCCCAGGTTTGGGGAATGTTGAAGTCTTAATATTATATTCAAAGTGACTGTATGTGCAGCATTAGCCCCCTGAGAAGAAAATTATTTGGGAAAAATACATCAATCTTATATCTCATCAATCCTGCAGCTATTAATATAATAGCTGAATCCCCATTTTCTTTCTGCATAGAGCACGTGAGCACTGGGATCAGGATGCCTCCAGGTGGAAGGACCATCCAGTTGCAACTAATCCACAGAGTGTAAGTTCATTGGACATGCACTAGATGGGTATGGCAGGCTTATTTTTTGTTGTTCTGTATAGAGCTGTAAGACAGGTAATATGTATTTGCTTCTATCTAGGAAAATATTTAGTAAGCCAAACCTGTTGTATTCAATTAAACACTTTGGGAAATGCATAGGAATAGGTCAATAGGTAACGAATAAATAAATTCCTCCAAGTTACTGCCCCTCGTCTTACTAGAGCTTGTTAAGAAAGAAAGAGTATCTTCCTCTTTTTCCCTTTCTGCCTTTTCTGTGCAAGAACTTTGTCAATATCCTCAGGCTATACCAACTGGAACTTATCTAATTGGAGTTCATTAGGAGGAAGGTACAGCTGGGCAGTGTTCTGGAGCAGTGGCTAACTGGATCACGGTACTAAAAAGCTGTGTATAGCAACACTAATTTTAAATATGTATCTGCTTTGCTACAGTTTCTGTGCAGTGCTTCATGTCCTATGCTTAATTTTATAAAGAGGCAGTGGTTCCTTATGGCACTTGAACTCTAATATCCAGGCCACTTTGAGTGTTTTTTTTTTTTCCTAACCTAGTTGCTCCCCTCCCTCCCTCCCTCCCTCCCTCCCTCCCTTTAACAATTTAAAAATTTAAAATTTAAACAATTTAACTTTAACAATTTTTAGGATTATGAACAGGGTCAGAATTTCTATGCAGAACACTTTCAATATGATCAGGGAAACATCGGAAGTGACATGCATGCTAGTGACTGGCCAGATCATCGCAACGAAGATGAGGATAAAAGCATGTTTGAAATTGCTGGGAGAGCCAGTGAAGATGGGTCTGAGGATGATGTGTATCTTGGAGGAGATGGGTATAAAGCAGATAAACTTTGCCAGCAAACCAATGGATATCATCTTTCAGAAAACTTTAGACCATATGCAAATAGCCACCAGCAGGAGTTCAGTAACCAACATGCCACAATACCAAACTTTGTTGATACTAAGAAAGAACACTTGAAGGTATGTGGAATGTTGATGAAGCTTGATTATCTTATGCCCCAGTATGCATCTGCTCATGTTGCTACAACCAATGGCATCCCAAAATGAAAGTATAATGGCATTATAACCTCAATATAAAATCAGTCTGTAACTTTTGAATAGGAAAACAACTCCTTTGGGAAAGGGGTAGGTCTTAGTGAATCTGGAAGTACTATATCTTAGGTCTTAAGCAAGTTTATATGAGCACTTGCTTGAAATCAATAGGTCTTACATCCAAATAAGTTCTGGAGTGCTACTTTCCACTTATTCCATATGTGTGAGTTCAACATCATTGTTAAATAGATATGCATGTTTAGGAATTATGAACCTTGTTTATACATTTCCATGTTTTTCATTGAAGTACACGAATAATGAGAGATACCAAGTAGAGATTTGTTCATGTATGTCCAGGGGGAAAGTGGGATTTGCATGTGTCACCTTTTGATATGTGGCACTATGCACAGATATTTTTGAGAAGAGAAGCTCATAGAAAATGTAAGAGGCAGCTTGTGCATCTTTTATTAAGTCTTACATATTTATGTTTATAATTGCAGTTTGGCACTTCAGAAGTTACTAACAACCAAGCTGTGGAATCTTACAAAGTAATATATAAGCCATGTCAGAATAATATCCAGAAGCCTGTTTCTTCAGATGCAGCAAGAAGAAATGAAGTGTTTGAAGAGATGCAACAAGAATTTCTAGGTACTGGAGAAGGTAAGTGCTAAATATTCCTCCTAGATTGCTATTACAGTAAAAAGGAGAGACAGAAAATGTTTGCATACACAAACATTTCATTTAGTGTCTCCAGTGTAATTTGCATATTATCTTTCCATAGTTTAGTACCATATGTCTGTAGGTAAAGTTATCTGAACTAGGTTGGTTAAACCACTATGATTTAATAGAAAATCAGGGCTTATGGAAACATTCAGTCTCACTCCTGTGCAGTTGTGGTGTGCTTGAAGGCCTGTGTAGACATAACAGACACTCTTACCTATGGTTAAGAGTACGATGATGATTCACAGGGTATTTCACTTCCCCATGCCCCTTCCCTCAAGAATTTTATTCTGCTTCAACTGGCATAAAATGCAATGAAATATGTTTGCTTTTAAACAGACTTTCAAGCTACTTTAACAAACCCCAAATAAGAGAAAACAGCCTTAATTGTGGCTAATATCAGTGCTGGCATATTTCTTAACAACAGTTAAAATGGAAGAGGTCTTTGCTCTGGGGCATGTGTGGCCTTCTTTCTATGTATTCATTGCAATTAGGGAAACATGCCAATGCAGGGGACAAAGTGGTCCTGATGGTCCAGAGTGGTCCCAATTAGAAGATGAAAAAAGGATGTCCTGATCCTAGTAACTTGCAACAGATGCAGCACTGTTTATTTAGGTAAAATGTGTTATATGCATTTAAATTGCTTAAAACATCTGAACTAGTTGCAAAACTAATCTGTAGAATTACAATATTGGTTAGACAGCTGAATTTCAAATTTCAGCTAAGAGGAACAACATAAAATTCATTCATGCACAGATGGTAGAATGTTAGGGGCGAGAACCTGAGTTAAAAACAAAACACAATCATGAGCAGGAACCAAAGTTGATCCCAAATAATTCTTTCTGCCATAAATTAATGTCTAACAATGCAAGTAGAACAGAATTCTCTATGCAGTTTGTGATCATTGAATCTCAACTAGTACAAAGCTCTAATACAAATATGAAATATTTTCTTTAGAAAGGCCTTGTTTGCATGGGAAATGGCAGCCTAAATGTTTGTATTTAATCTAATCAGTGCAACAGCTAATATTCATAGAGCAGTTTGTCACAGTTGTTGGGATGTGGGTTCGCTTGCGGTCCTGTGCAAAAGCCTTTTAGCAAAAAAGGATCCAGCTGATTCTCCTAAGGTATATTGGAGGCAGCTGCAATGCTGCTTCCTGGTGGTTGAAGTTTTTAATGCTGTAGATGAAATTATGTGGCTTTAACAGTGGCCATAATGGAACAGAGCCTTCATCTGTGTGACCTTTAGGATTGAAGCATCCTGAATGTCAGCAACTGAATAATTTGCATTGCTCTCCACTGTCAGATACACCTTCTCTCTCTAATGATACATTTTGGTTTATCTGGTAAAACTTATAAACTAGGGCCTCATGCTTCTAATAAGATAACAGTTCAAGAACTTTATTTGATGGCCTAATTTATATTAAATGAGAGAACCATGTACATTTTAATACCTGACATTTGTAAGCTGTATCTGAACTGACAGGTTCATCAGACAACATGCAGATTCTACAACTTCAGGTTCTTAATAAAGCAAAAGGGAGACAACTGGAAGAACTTAATAAACAGCTGGAAGAGAGAGCCCAGCAGATTAGGTATCTTTCTCATCAGCTGGCCATTGTGAAAGGTAAATTTCTCTGTTCTGGGTATGGCAGCTGCAGAGAATGGGCTTGGTTTACGTGGATTCCAGGCCCCTTGGAAGTAAAAGATGAGCAACTGTCCTTCTGTTGGGTAACCCGGGGAGCATTTGCTGTGTTTCTCAGTTTCCCTCACTTTTAGACTGTGTTGCTTCTTTTCAGTAAATTACTTGTATGTGTTAACTATTTCTTTCTTTTAAAGATGAAAAGGATGGCATGTGTCTCAGCCTCCAAGAAGGTCAGACTCTTTATCAAAAGAGCAAGGAAAGGGAAATTCAACTTGAGGGCCAAATAAAAGCACTTGAAACCCAAATACAAACTTTGACCACTAATGAAGAGCAGGTAGTGTAACTATTGTAGCTTGTGGTATTCAACATTTTATCATTGTTGACATTATATGATTTTTATAACTTCCAACTCAAACATCAGTTTTAAAAAGAAGTTTGTGATAACGTGGCATGAGGACAATAATGATACAAGCTCAGAGGTGTGATACTGGAGAATACAACATCTTTCCCTCAACATACCTGCAGTCATTGCTGCTTCCCAGACAAACCCGGATTGGGTTTACTCTCTTTAGAAAAGCTGGACAGGGAGATAATAGGCAATTGGGAGTAGGCAGGACATCACACTTCGTATTTGCTTGCTTTGCCATAGCCTGGTAGGGCACCATTCTCCCCCGCCTCTTCCAGATATGCTTGGGCTTTAGTATCCCTTGGAGCCAAATAAGGATGATGGCCAGTGGAGGCCATGCCACGAAACATTGCTGTGGTTTTGATTCCTCTTTTTGTTGGTTCTGCTTAAGTATTAGGCTTGAGCTGGCTGGACCTGGAGCATGGCAGGCCAACATGGCTCATCATTTGCTGCAGTTTGCCCTCATGTAGGAGCAAAGAACAGAAAGAGTAAATGGCATCAGATCAGTGCTATCACACTGATGCCGTTGCATAGCAAGGAGATGTGAATGAAGCATTGGAGTAACCTAGTTTGCATTTGATGCATATGATAAAGGGGTTGGAAGTTGGGGAGGCAGCCACTGTCCCATGCTAGTACATGTGGGATAGTCCCTGTTATGATTTTAACTTTTTCCTTCCAAGATGTGTGATAGGTTCATTAACATGGGACCCTGCCATACTAACCTGCCAATTGAATTCTGCAAGCATAGTTACAACTGATTCCACAGTAGAATTGTATCTGAATTGTATGTCCATGGTTGCTTATGTGAAAGACACCCACATTTGAATGACTATATTGTGAATGAACAGGTGCATTGCATTTGTTTTGTAGCTGATCAAACAATCAAAAGTGGCAGAAGTTGCCATGGAAAGCATGCAGCAGCAGCTCTTGGAACTGCGGCGCTCTGATGCTCTTCAGCGTGCAAGAGAACAACATGAGGCTATTGTTGCAGCTCTGAAACAGAAATATGAAGAACAGACCTTACTTCTGCAGCAGAAACTTGATGCTAAGCATGTGGCACACCAGGAACAGGTCAGATTGGGATTTACAGATGGAAATAGTTACAGGAGATACGCAAGCTAGGGAAGAATTTTTTCCTCAAACTGATTAACTTCTAAATATGAACTCTTCCTTGCATCCTGAACTGAGGATCAATTGAACAGCTCCTGCAGTGAAAGGCCTGCATCATTTGAAGGTCTGAGAGCAAAGTTCATCTATCACGTGTCCTCACAGTGAGGGAGAGGTGTGGAGGCAAATGTCTTGATATGCTGTTGGCAGCATACTGGTGCTTGCTCTCATGATTTGTGCATTTTGAACAGGTAGTTCAAAAATGCCAAACCGAACAACTCCACGCACGTTTATCTGGAGGAGAGTCCTATTATATATGGTAAACCCTGTTCACACCCTATTCTGTCTGGGTTGGCATTTGCCCTGCTTGTGAGATGGCTCCTGCAAGGCTGCAAATTCTAGCACGATCAAGAGTCTTGCTGGTTGGTTTTTGACAAATCATCTTTAATACGTGTATCATTTGTCTCTGTGCACAGGCACGCATGCTGTGCTGCGCAGACTACTGTATAGGCTAGACTGTAAGGCAAAAAGCTGATGAGCATCACTCAGTAATACTGGATGTTGTTGTTGTTCTCACCTCTACAGCTCCCCATAAGTGAAACTTTCCATTGTAGTGTTACATATAAGAATCGTCATTTTGTCGCGATCCCTGCCTGATGGTGGTGGTTTTTTGCTGTGCTAAAGAAGTTGTAGCAAATTACTAACTGAACAGCTTGGTTGTAGTTTTTCATGCAGGTCCTCACTGCTGCTCTCATGCATGGATTGGGTTTTTGAGGTTTCCACAAAATTGGACATATTTTCTGAACACACAATACTGGTTGTTATGACAAACCTAAAATAAATAGAACATGTATCACCCAGGTTTTGCTGGAAGGCCTCTCTTATAATTTTATGCTTCTGGTTAATTTTATACCTCTCCTGCTGCCAGTATTAAATTCTTTTCTTTTCATTACCATATATGGAGACATTTTTCTGTCCCATTAAAATACCTTTAGGTTGCAGTTGCATAAACTTAATTGGGAGTAAGCCCCTTCAGTAGGACTCAGAGCAGAATTAGGTGGTGCGCATGCATCTGCATGTGTGCAAGATTCCACCATTATGAATTTAATGTTTATTATATATTTTTCTATTGAATGGACTTTTAATGAATGCTTCATTAGCTTTTGCAAACAGCTATCTTTACAATATAAATGAAAAGTAGATACAGAAATGACCATCCTGTCTTTGTCTGCAGATTAATATCTATGGGTTATATAAATGTAAACGAACTGCCAATATTGCCTCAGAGTTTTTTTTTAGAAATCTTAAACTGTGAACTTAACCTTGAGAGTGAGCTCTGCAATACATTTACCTAGGGGACCAGGGGTGTATGTTAAAAGGAAAATTAGGAAAAGGAAACCAAATCAGGATGGATTCAATGAACATACTGACACAATTAATGCTTAACACAATCCACCACAGTCCATTAAAAACTTCCAGTTGTTCAAATTGATTGATTGATTGATTGATTGAGGGGTATTTCTAATCCATCCAATCAATATGCACCCTTTTCTCATCTGAGAAAGTTCCCAAATCTTCAGCTTGATTCTGAATGTTAGGATGAGAGTATCAGAGTCATAAGACTTCCATTCAATTAAGCAGTTGCTTTCTTGTTGGAGAGAGCATTGATAGCACAATGCATACAATTACATTGTAAGCTAAAGACTGCACACAAGAAGATCCTGTAGATACCTAATAGAAGTCTATAATTATGGACTTCAACTTCATGTACGATAAAATTAATTGTATACATATATAATGATGAACTCTTTCTATAGACAGTTGACATATCTGTGTACAATTTATGTGTGCAATTGTTTGGTTTGTTTTTTATCCCCAGAACATCTGTGACTAAACTTATAAACCCCTAATTACTTCCTTTTTCATGTTGGCAAAACTTGACTAGGTTACATGGCATCACACATGTATAATGCTATGTGATAAGAACTTGAGGTTGGGCATCTCATTCAGTCCTCTTAATGACCTGCTTCAGCTCTCATGATGATCTCAGCGTGATAGCTGAAACTTTTTGGACCAGGAACAAGCTGTGCACCTGCATCTTCCATGTCTTCTCACATTTCTCTCCTCCCTTTGAACAAGGATCAGTTCTTGGTTTAGGGGGAGTCTTTTAAGTCCGTTTCCTGTGGCAAATATCATGGAAAACTAGCATATTAAGTCAATGTTTTGGCAAAGCCATGTGCCTATGAGGGGAGATGTAGAGGGCACTGCCAGTGTACAGGTCAACCAACATTTATTGGTCTTAAATTGTGACAGCTGAACTATTCCAAAGCCTTCAGCTTTTCTAAAGCCACCTGTTATATAAGAAATATGACTGATATTAAGCTTTATTGAATGATTGTGTATTCTATCTGATTTGTAAAATTACAAAGTACTTTTTATTAGATAGAACTTTGCTGTCATATGAGGGAACACATGAAACAACTTGAAAGAAATCTTGAAGAAAGCAAATTAGAAAAAAACAACATAATCAATCAGCTCTCAAGAAGCCTAGAAGAAAGCCAAAACCAATGTGCAAATCTTCTACAATCAGGTTTGTCATCCTGGTATTAATTTTACAAGCAACACATCAAATAAGGGATTACTAAAGTTTGGATAAGAGTATTAGTAGGAAGAGTTGCCCTTTGGGTGCTTAGAGATGCTTATGCAAAGGCAGCTCCTTTAGGGCTAGTGTCTGTTTAGACATTATAAAACTTCAGGAAACTGAATATAGAAAATATTAGCTTTTCAGCAGTGAAAGACATTTTGCTTAAAAGCAGGTTGTACAATCTCAGCAGAACAGGATATATGAGGCTGCTAGATTACTTTCAATAATTAAGCACGGTTTTATGGATCTTAAACATAATGCCATTCTTCACTATCCACTGACAGGCTCATTTAAGGAAGTGGTTCTGAATTGTTTCTATGGAACTATGGGGTTCCTTAATGGCAAAACCAACAGTGGTGGACAGGTTCTACAAGAGACTCGACAGTGGATTTCTTGTCTGACATTACCACTCCTTTTTTGGAACAGGCAGCTGCATATGATTTTTAGGTGCCTTTGAAGGTGCATTTTTAACTTGTGTGAGAAGACAAGTATTTAAACTGCATCAGCAGCATACCTGTAAGGAGGGGGGCCCTTGCAGCTCTCTTGCAGTCTCTTTCCTCTTCAGATTCAGAGGAGGCAGAGGTAGAAGGCAGAGGCAGGCAGGAGATTTTGCACTCTCAAAGCTACAAAATAAAGACAATTATGGGACCAACCCGCTTGGAAAAGGAGGAGGATGTTTCATGCAGGGAGTGGGTAGAGATTGAGGAGACAACAGATGAAGCCAGCGGGCCCATTAAGTGTCCCATGCTCCTGCTGTCTACATCTCAAAGAGATTGTTACTTTGATCTATGCTGTTTGTAACCTGAAAAGCTCAAATATTTAATATATTTAAAGTTAAAATGAAGGACTGTGTGCCCAAGATTTCATCTGAGTCTGTTGGAGAGAGAGACAAGGGTGGGGTGGGGGAAAGAAACATGCCCCTAACGGTGCCTTTCAGACTCTGCATTCCCCAAGGGGTTTTTCAGGTTCCTATGAAAAGCACATGAGATTCCATAACAGATGTGCAGCTATTCTATGGGAAATGTATCAATGTAAAAATGATTTCTTTAAGAGTAGCAAAAGCTGAAAATTACTGATCTCAGGACTAGCTTTTTAAAATAAAACTTGAGGTGGCAACCTGAAGAAGCAGCTGTATCAGAGGTAGAGAGGAGGCCTCTTGTAAGGAAATGAGAATGGAAAGTTGCAGTAGAGGAAAACTTCCTTCTTAAATTAACCTTGTATAATAAAGTAAATAAGTAGTGATGAGAGTGAGAGGCAGTACTTAAGTGACATGTACCCTGCCAAATCCAGACTGAAAAATATTCGTATTGGCCAAAGAAATTGTGTGAAAGGGCCCCTCTAAGTGTCATTAAAAGTGCAACTGTATGCATTTAGTCATCTTGTTTCTTTTCTTTTTTTAACAACCTTAATGCCTTTACCAAGTCAGCCTTGTTCATCCTGTTTTTCTGGCAAAATTTCACAGTTTCCTTTAGTTTTGGGTGAGCTAAAGAAAAGCAAACATTTGACCTGTCTTTCCTACTCATCATTACTTTCATTTCAAAGCACAAGGAGAAGCTATCAAAGCTGCCACCATCTAAAGAGCTAGAAAACTTGTTTTTTTATATTGAGAATGTGAATAAATAGTCAAAAAGTGCACACCCTCTTTTAGGCATTCCTTTAAAAAGAAACATCTATCATTTTGGTACCTTTAAAATGGGCCTGTTTAAAATGTTGCTGCTTTAGAAAGGTTCCCTTGATTTTCCTTTCTTCCTTAGCAATTATTGCTATTCATGTTTAATTCCAGTTGTTTCTCTTCAGGCTTGGTAAAGGAGACAAATCAGTTGCGTATGCAGCTGCATCAAGCACAGTCTGCCCAGTTGATAAGCAGCGAAATGAACAAAGCTCTACAGGTTGGTTTATTTTCCTGTTTAAATACAGTAAAACTTTGACATTTTTGGAGCACTATAGAACTGCTGAGGTAACTTAAGGAAAGGCAACGCCCCCAGTAGAATGTATTTACAGGGTAAGTATTTTATTCCACAGTTGCTAACAAAACGTTTGAGTTCATGTACCTCTGTGGGTTTCTTTTTGGTAGATTTCAGCCCAGTGCTGATTTGGACGCTAGTGGTTTTCTTCTTGTGGTTAGGAGATCAGAAGCTTGCTGAGCATGTGTGTGCTTTCTGTTCCCCCTCTCTTTGCTGCAGCTGTTTGTCTTAGATTGGTACTAGTCTTTATTTATTTATTTGGAACACTTATATGCTGCCCCATTTGCAAAAGCCTCGGGGCAGCTTCCAATTATTAGTACTCTGTGCTTAGCAAATTTATTTGTTTGTTGGACTTTTGTCCCACCACATTAGCCAATAAGGCTAATATGGCAAGCTTTACTGTCTTTACTGTGTTATAAGGTAAGTAACAGACTGCCATTAAAAACAAGGATCCAAGCTAACTTCCTGTTTAATTCCAGCCACCAAATCTTGGTTCAAAAATCTTGCACTTACTTTGGAAATATGTTTGGAGTGGAGTTCCATAGCTGCAGAACAGCTCCCTAAAATACATGTCATTGGAGGTATTCTGAGAGCTGTCTATAGTATGTAAAGTTGGAGACTGGACTGAAAGGTTCCCTTTTATTATCATCCTTTATTTCAATAGCACTTTAAGATGCCAATCCTAAACTCACTTACTAGGGGGCAACCAGTCAGACTCAGTGGGGCTTGTCACTGAGTCAACATGTTTTTCTTCCCGTAAGTGTACAAAATAATTGATAAAGTTTATCCCATTTATTCTTACAGTAATAGGATTGTTCCATTTCGTAGGTGAAGAGTAACTTTGAACCCACTGTCTTTCCTTCCCAGTGTGGAGATCTTGTATGAACCATCTTTAAAATGTCATTTAAGTGTATGCAACAAGTAAAAGTGGATATAATTTAACTAGACACATTTAGTTTGAAGTGTCCTAGTGATAAGAACATTCATGAATGTCTTTACACAGCATCTCAGCACCCAGTGAAGTTACCCACACATACTTAAAGATTACTTTTCAAATTGTGTCCATCTTCTCTAAATTCAGGAATCTCCCATGTAATTCAGTTTGAGTGTTATGATTAGCTTCTATCTAGAGTCCAGAACTTTTTTGTGTGTTGAGGAGACTCACAAATGGGAGTTGCATCCAGAAGTCTTCACGTGGCTCTTCCAGACTTGGGGCACCCCCTCAGTAGACCTTTTCACCACCTCAACCAGTACAGTGCATGTCAGCTTCTGCTCCCAAGCTGGGACTGGCCCGAGCTCAGTGGGAGACGTGTTTCTTCTCTGCTGGGAAGGGACCCTGTTTTACCTGTTCCCACCATTCCCACTTATCACCGGGGTGCTGGCAGAAATCTGGAGAAAATGCACTTTTATGCATCCTGAGCCATGCCATGGTGGCTCTGACAAGCATGGTTTGCCCACCTCCTGTGCCTGTCCACAGTGGGCGTATGACTCCTCTCTTGGAAGGTGGTCTTTGTAATGGCAATCATGTTGGCCAGGCAGGCGAGTGAACTGTGCGCTTTGTGTAACAACCCATGTTTCCTCACATTCCACCGGGACAAGGCGGTCCTGTGGCCCAGCTGATCACTCCTTCCAAAGTTATGTTGCCATTCCACCTAAACCAGGACAATGTTTTGCCAGTGTTCTTCCCAGCACTTTTGCAGGGTGGTCACATCCCAAGCCACTGGTCCTAAAGACCGTTCATATGTTATGGCCAGTGCTCCAAAGGCAAGCTGGTTAGCCCTCGGAGGGTCACACACTGGGTCTTTGTGACTATCATGCTGACCGTCCAGCTACCTGGACCTCAAAGGCAATGTCTACAGTACTGCATACTGGCATCCTGCTATAGGATCTCCGCACTCGAGCAGCAGTGTGGTCCACTCCATCGACCTTCATCTGGCACTACCAGCTCGGTGTCCACACCAGGCAAGATTGCTCCTTTGGTAGAGCGGTCCTCTTGGTAGTCCTCTGCTGATGACTCCTGCCTGCCTCCATCTCAAGGCAAGCTCGTTACTTGCCCATATGTGTGATGCACAGAAACCATGAAGAAGGAGGTTAGGTTGCTTAGGTTAGGTTGAGTGGTTACCTGTGCATTCACACAAGCCACCCACTGACCCCATGTCTGTATTGACATCTTTGGTTCCATAGTTTTCCTTTGGATATATATTGATATGATACAATTCAGCTGTTCACTGCCCTTCTCTCCCCACCCCCATTCTGATGCCTCAATTTTGTCTCAAGAGAACTGGGGAAAATGGCCTCTCCTAGATATACCGGGGGGCGGGGGGGGGGGGAGAAAGGAGGAACAATGGGCCCATGCTGGCACAGAGCCCATATGTGTGCGCCTGCAGATGTGACCAGCCAAAGAATGATGGTTATAGGTAAGCGACTGAACATTCTTCAGTGCCAAAGTGAAGACCTTGGGAGATCTCTGGTGCCCATTGTGAAAATGGGTGCAAATATAATGCATAGTTTAAGAAATTAAATTGAAGTATAATTTCATACCTGCTGTGGTCAGCTCATGTATCTAAGAGGTATTAGGACATACATACCATGTAATATTAGAAGTTTAAAAGTTCATACATTTGGTTGTTCAGTTGATTGGGGAACTGCTGGCATTAGCAGGTTTATATCCCTAGATAGGTCTGTCTGCATTTTTATTTTCTGTTTTTTTTTAGGAAGAACTAAAGGAACTGAAAGAAGAAATTGTTCTATATGAATCCGCTGCAAAACATGGTGTATTTCTCAATGATCCTGGTGGTGAATTGAATGTAGACATGACTGATTCTTATGTAGATTTGGGTATTAAAAAAGTCAACCCAGAAACAGGACTGCACAGGTACTGAGTGAACATCATTCTAATTATATAATAAATAAATAGGAAAATGTTGCCCAAATCATATCTTTTTATCCTTTTCCCCTTAGCTGTCTAAATAATTATTGTTCTCTACATAAAACTATTTAAAAAAAACCTTTTACATCAGCTTGTAGTGGTTTCCCATTCAAGAGATTGATCTGGTCACCATCGATGCAGCTTTAATAATGTTATAGCATTATGCATCACCCACATGCCTAAAATCAACTCCCTCATTATCTGTATGGCACAGGTGTTTTGCCATGACTGTTCTTCTACCCCTCCTTCAAGGTAGACCAGGAAAAAGGCTTTATTGTGTTAAAGGTGACCTACTACGTTGGCTTTCTAGCCCAACCGAAGAGTATTCCAGAAACAAGGGAAAGTTTCTGGAAAGAAAGGGAAAGAAACAAGCTATGTTAGAATACTGGCCATTAGGGAAATGCTGCTTCATGATAAGAAGTTGGTTCCAAACTGAATACCTTTCTTTTCTTCTAAAATTGAAAAAATCTAAGCCATACCTTCTAGGTGGGTGGTTCTGTTTCTGCACCAATATCTTAATGCACTTTGAGGCTTCTTACCTGGTTCTCTCTCTTAAGCTGCCGCTGTATCCTTTATTTATTAATTAATTAATTAAAACACTTCTATGCCACCCCATTTGCCGAAGCCTCGGGGCGGCTCACAACATAAAATACAAAAATAACAATATAAAAATAACAATATAAAAGAAGTCGCCCTGGCCAGATAAATAAACAAATACTGTTAACAATTAAAATGACGCTTAAATAAAAAGGTCTTCGCCTGGCTCTGAAAAACAAATAACGACGGCGCCAGGCAGACCTCTCTGGGGAAATAACCTTGAAATAACCCAGTCACTACTTGTTTGTAATAGTCACACTTTACATTTTTAAATGGCCAGACAATTTTTGAATACAGATAGCGATTCTTTCTTTTTAATTTTTGTTAATGATTAATACACACTAGATATATTCTTAATTTTTGTGCTACCACAGTAACAGTATTTTCTTCATAAAATAATAGTTTTGTACTAGTTGCACTATGAAGTTGTGCATTTAAAACAATTTAAATCATCATTTAATTAAACATGCAATTTAGTGAATTAAGTTGTTGATGTACCTTTTAAATAAGCATAGATATGTAATATTAGAGCCCAAATGAACAGCTTGAGTTACCTTTGAAGTACTGAGCAAAATTAAGAACAAGATCATTTTTGTTTTATTTTATAATGTTTAAACTACATTTTCAAAAATGCCTCAAACAGTATCACAAAACACAATAAAGTTACAATAAAAATGTCAAAATAAGAATGATAACAGAGCAAAACAAGACATCAGAATGGTAAGATCATAATCTCTATATGATCAAATGGTCCAAATTGCTCCAAATTGAAGATTTTTTCTTTAGTTGTGCCTAAAAAATCTACACGGATGTGGATAGGTAGGTAGACCTGAGTGGGCAAAACAGCCATTATCATTGCCAGCTTTGGGTGACAGTTAAAGTGCTGATCACAAGCCAGCTGTATAACTGAAACTCGAAGTTAAGAGACTTGTGACAGCCCAGTGTACACTCAGCTTGGGAACTTTCTATTTGTCCTTTTGACTTTAAGTAAGCTGCTGCCTTAAACATCTTTACTGTTCGTTAATTTTAAATTGATGTATGGACAACTGTAGAGTCACAGAATTTCAGGGCTAGAGTGACCTGTTTTCAGTGAATACTTTGCTCAGGTTCTGGGTTAACCAGAAATCTGCTGCTGCATCATAGTAACCCTGAAAGAGAAATAGTACATCAGTAAAATTCTTGGCTTCATTCTACATATGTTTACTTGGAAGCAAGTCTCACTGCTTGGGACTTTAGATTGCAGCCCAGAATCCTGGAGCTTTACCATATTTATAGGCTGTTGATACGTGTCGTTTCTCTCTGTTACTGCTCTCCTTAATGTTTAACAGTACTGCACTGAGTAAAGAAGTAGATAGAGGACTTTCTAAAGATGAGATTATCTCAGACCTGAAGGCTGAACTGGAACGTTCACTGAGCAGTAACAAAGCAAAAAGGAAACGGATTTCTGAGTTACAAAATGACCTCGAAGATTGTCAGAGAACAGTAGAAGAATTGAAGGAGCAGCTGGTGAAAACAAATGTGCATGAGGTAGGTTTGTTTGGAAGCCTGAATATATTTTTGGTCTCCACCCCCTGAATATTTATTAAACCTAAAAGTTTCATTGAACTTAAAATCGTAACACTCAGTACATATGGGGAGAAAAACAGGACACAGAGTTAGATGTTGAAATTCGGTTTGCAGATTGGACAATTGAGATCAAATGGGAGAACCCTCTGGATAGTATTCCTAATTTCATAGTTGCAGCATGATATAAAATACCAAACACATTTCCTCTAATATTTATACTCGGTTTATGTCTGATTCATTATGCCTGCACCCCAGCACCATATCTACCCACACATAATCAGCAAAAAAGTTTCTCCACAGCCTTGGAATGCACCAGCTGTCAAAGAATGCACAAGGAGAGCAGTTGATGAGTTACTGTGGCAGAGTAATACTCTTCCCTCCTGTAGTATGAGGGCACAGGCAGCCTGTTGCAGTTGTTGTTGTTGTTGTTGTTGTTGCTAGGATGGTGTTTGGAGCTCCTTCAGTTTGAGGAGGTGGCCTAACCAACAGCTTAATATTGCTCATGCTTTCTTCATAAGAAACTGGTGCCTGGTCTTTGGCAGAAGTTAGAGAGCTGGCCTTTTCTTTATCTTAACTCCCTATCCTTACCAAAGAATGTTCTATACCAGACAACCAAGGTATGATCTGTATGTAGTGCACTTGCTTTAAGTGAACACTTGATTGGTTCTGTGGCTTAACTAACTGGCCTATGATGATATGGCTAGCATACCTTTGGCTGGGTTATGCTGTTTTCTAGCTATGCTGAAAGTTCAACTTTACTGCCAAACTTTTTTTGGGGGGAAGGGGCACAGGAGGGGAGTAATACCCAGTTATGTGTTGTGAGCCTTTCGGTTGCTGCTCGGACTGCTTAGACATTATTTGAACCTGGAAAGTCATGTGGGAAAAGCTGAAACCACTTTTATTCTTATGCCAGGTGTTACCCATCTGGCTCTAAATCTCATTAAACTCCTGAAGAGTAGCCTAAATTTGCTGCATTTTTAATGCTGTTTTATCTACCATACTAAGGCAATGGGCATTGTATTGGTTCATAAAATGTTAAGTGTGTGCATGGATGGTTTTCATCTCTGATCTGTTTAGCACAGAGCTATTCTATACGAGTCCTTAAGAGTTTTTTGGACTGACTCTGTTCTTTCTATTAGCCCAAAGGTAGAAGTATTGAGGGCCCATCTAATATTTTGCAATCTAATACTTCTGAAGAAATTCTGAGGCTGAAAAGGGAAAACCAAGATTTACATCAAGAAGCTGAGGTGGGTTTTTAGTGTGTGTATTTTTTCTCTAGGGGTAGGCAGTCCCACAGTATTGAGTGGTGAGAGAAAATGTGGTAACACTCAACCCTATGACATCATTGCATTGTCCGTTTGCATCAAACAACTGCATTGGCTGTCAATGAGGGGGGCAGGGAATACTCAGTTAGAATATATATATACACATACACATTTTGCAGGGAAGAAGAACTTTACTTATTTCTCCTGGTAGTAAATGTCCAGAAATGTTGGAAGTCATTGGGTGTGGGGAAGTAGTGTTTCTTTTCCAGGGAAAACTGAGACATGGCGTGCTGGGAGGTATTGAAATATTGTAGTACTCAGTAACAAAAGTTGTGGGAGACGAAGGAGTGTTCACTTGCTTTCCTTTTTTTAATGCCCTTCACATTTCTAACCACTTCTATAGCTTCACCTGTACCATGTATCTTTCCCTAAAGATAGGATATGTTTGTACTTTTAAACATGATACTATTTTCAACTGAGTTTACTTGTATCCTTATTTCTCTCTTATCTTTGCTTGAATAGAGTCATAATGTACGCATTCAGGAGCTTACAGAAAACCAGGAAAAACTGAAAAACACAAATCAAGAGCTTTGTAGTCAAATGAGAGAAATTATTCGGGACTTTGATCAGGATAAGCAAGAAGCACTAGACAGGTACTTCGAAGTGGAGAAGCAAACACCATCAGACTATGTTGGTCTATAAGTATTACCTTCTGCTTTTTCCTGTAAACAAATAGAAGTAGACAACTAGATGGATTGAACTTAGGAGATTTTTGTTGCTACAGACTTTCTTATATTAGAAGTGGTTTGCAGGTACATTCTGTAGATCCATAGCACTGGCAAGTCCAGTCTCATTTCACCTGAGGTCTTCAGCCTGTCTTTGACATTAGAGAGTTGTAGGAGTTGGCTCCAACAGTGCAGGCTTGCTGTTAGGGCGAGCCTTAGTAAAGTGATGGAAGTAACTATCTCTGCTAGAACCATATGCTAAGTGCTCCTCTGATTATATGACCTACAATGCTATGGGATTCCTCAAATTTCAGGTGGGAGTTAATTGCTGTAGTTTATAACCAAGAAATTAAAAGACTCTTGCTCCTGGGGAGGAAAGCTATGGCAAATCTAGACAGCATACTAAAAAGCAGAGACATCATCCTGCCGACAAAAGTGCGTATAGTCAAGGCTATGGTTTTCCCAGTTGCAATGTATGGCTGTGAAAGCTGGATCAGAAGGAAGGCTGAGCGCCGAAGAATGAACGCTTTTGAAATGTGGTGCTGGAGAAGACTCCTGAGAGTCCCTTGGACCGCAAGGTGATCAAACCGGTCAGTCCTAGAGGAGATCACCCCTGACTGCTCTTTAGAAGGCCAGATACTGAAGATGAAACTCAAATACTTTAGCCACCTAAAGAGAAGGAAGGACTCCCTGGAGAAGAGCCTGATGCTGGGAACAATAGATGGCAAAAGGAGAAGGGGACGGCAGAGGATGAGGTGGCTGGATGGAGTCACTGAAGCAGTCAGCGTGAGCTTAAGTGGACTCTGGGGGATGGTGGAGGACAGGAAAGCCTGGAGGAATCTTGCCCATGGGGTCACAATGGGTTGGACACGAATTCGCGACCAACGTAACTTATTATTCAGTATATCAGGTTTTCTTTCCTTGTAACTCATCTAAATTTAATGTTCCCTTATACCATGCAGCTCATGTGTCTTGGGTCCTCATTACTAAATGCCTGTTCTTTACATAAGTACAGCTAGGAAATAAATATTAGGATTTCTAACAGAAAGTTATAGTGTACCACAAAGGAACTATTTAAGCTGTTGGTGATAATTTATAAAGCCCTAAATGGCTTAGGACCTGGATAGTTGAAGGAGTGGCTACAGGAGAGGTGCACCTGGTGACAACACTATTCCTTTTGGGCCAGGCTAAAACCTTTTTATTTTCTCAACATCTTAAGTCTTAACTGCTGTTTTAATTGGGTTTTATCTGAGGATTGATGATGCCGTGCTTCTTATTGTAGTACCGTCCTGAGACTTTTGTGATAGGACAGTATAAAAAAAATGCTTTAAATAAATAAATCCCCAACCCCCACCCCTTTCTGGATACATTAAGTAAAGAGGCAAAGAGTCAGGATCAAGAGTACTCTGGAACTATTCTTAGGGAAATATGTAGCATTCAGCTTAAGGAAGCAATGATTGGGTTAACACCATAGAGAGGTGGATGTTTGGACAAAGTTGGCAAGAGAGAAGAGAAAGTTGAAAGGCATGCATGTGAATGAGAAAGTCTCTTGCTGAATAAGGGAATAAGAAGGGGGTGGGAAAATCAGACAAAATTGTAGCTGTGCAGGGTTAACAAAGAATCCAAAATCTACGTAATACTTCCTAAAGGTAGGTAGTTTCTTTGAAATATGGATAGGCAAGAGGAGAAGCCAAATTAGGAGGGGGGAAGATACTGTGTTTTCAAAGCAAGATAGCACCTGTGATGGCACATTCCCCCCCCCCCCCGCCCCCACCGGCCGAATGTTCTGCTGTGAGCAAAACAACACAGAAAGACGGGAATGAAAGAACTGGCTGTTCCCTTTGGAATCTTCGCTTAAAGGATTGGGTTTTGCCTGAACAGCTCTGCTAAGGAATGGAAAGGAAGTGATGATGGTTGGGTTAAATTTTGTTTCAGTAACTGTCAAGTACAGAGATGCTTTTTGCAGAAGAGGTGTTGTGGACATCTTAAGTGTAAATCTTCCAGATCTTCATGGGTGAAGACCCATTGTGTTTCCATGGGGATAGCAGTGTTTCCTGTGCCTTCGACTTCTTCAGGCACTCAACCAATTAGGTATACCATGAGGCGTCTTTACTTCAGAATGGGAGGTCAAGTGTTGCTTAAGTATGGGCCTTCTGGAGCTGCTACAGCAGTTGAACAACCAGTGCACATTCGTCCTTGGTTCAGGTCCTAGGTTCTTCTGCCCCTGATAGTCAGACAGGAAATAATACTTTGACCTCAACAACAACCTGTGAGAGGAACATGCACAGTGATAATGGGAACTGAGTACATCATCCACAGGCTTCATTGCAAAGAGAGGTGTTTGCATCTGTACCTCTGTTGTCATGCTCCACCTGTTCTATAACAAACTGGCTCTCTGTTATAGTATTGTCCTCCTTCCATGCCCTGTGATGGCTGTTGCAATTTCTAGACTATGCAATGTACAGTGCAGTGTTTTTATAGCAGTCCTGTTGAAAGGGTCATTTTTCATAGGTGCAAAAATAGATTTATGTTTATATTTTCACTGATAACTTTTAACCATTTATTGCACTCTGCTGAGGGAGAAGAGCACATGGAAGATTTTGATCTTAATATGCTGGCATGCCACCCATATACCTTGGGTGTACCTTCTTTGCTCTGTTGATTTATCAGTGCATGCCAGAGACACCTTGTATATGTGCATGTAAAGCAAAAGCAAACAAACAACCCAAACAAAATGCAGTCCCGAACCTAGTCTTTTGTACACTACCATTTAAATATTTTTTCCACTTTCTGCTTTAGGTGTGAAAGAACCTATCGGCAACATTTTGAAGATGTGAAGAAAAAGCTCTGTGAGGAGCTTGCAGAAAGGCATGCTGCAGAAAAAGAAAAGCTGCACAATGCTTATGAAGAGACCATTACCCAGTTGAAGTAAGTTAATTTGTGCCCTACTAAATCAAAATATCTATCTGAAACCTGTTCCTTTTCCAGGGAGGTAATCCGATTAGAAAAGAACTACTTTTCTGAAGAACTTGTCTCTTAACATGCAATATTTGTATTATTGTTTTCTTTTCAAGGGCTGACATTGATGAATTGAACAAAGAGATTATTACAGTGAAAGAATGTTATGTTACCGTCTGCAGGGAGAGAGAGAAACAGGAGGCCACTCTGAAAGCAGCATTTGAGCAGGAGCAGCAAATGAAGGAAGAGAAGGTAGATGCAAAAATAGCCTTAAGTAAATTTACTTCAGAGATCATGATCGTGTAGCAACTGTACTAGGTATGATTCCTGAGCAAAAATAAATGGGTAATCTATAGAAGTAGGATCTTTGGGAAGTATGTGTACTGGGGAAAGAACTAGCATAAGGTTTAGCAGAGCCAAAGTGGTGTAGTGGTTAAGTGCGTGAGACTGGGACTCAGGTGATCTGGGTTCTAGTCTGCACAGCCATGGAGCCAGCTGAGTGTCCTTGGGCCAGTCACAGACTCTCAACCCAACATATCCTGTTGATGTCGTGATAAGATTGAGAGCAGCAGGAGGAGAATGATGTGAGCCACTCTGAGTTCTTTAGAAAGAAAAAAGGGAGGATATAAATCTAAACAAGCAAACAAATAAATAAAGCCGCTCATAACTTAGTAGCAGTTAAATGATTCACACGCTCCTTGCCATCAGTCCTCCATCTGGAGCAGACAAACTTCCAGCCTTTACTGTGATAAATTTCATCTGGACCTACACTATAGCTAATATTAACTAAAATTTGTTGCTTGAATGTACTCCATCAAATGAATTACAATGAACTTTTGAACTGGTTGTCTTTGGGCCAGTCATGAACTCTTATCCCTCACAGGGTTGTTTTTGTGAGGATAAACAAATTGAAGTTGAATCCAGGCAAAACAGAGGTGCTTGCTGTTAAGGTTGTGAATCCAGGATTAGAGGCATGTTGGGCAGCTCTAGATGGAGCCACACTCCCCTTGAAAGACCGTGTGGGCAGTTTGGGGGGTGGTTTGACCCAGATGTCAGCACAGCTAGATGCTGTGGTCAAGAGTGTCAGGTATTCTCTTCAGCTGATTTGCCAACTGCATCGCTTCCTGGGGAAGAATGGCCCCAAAACAGTGCATGGACTGGTAACTTCTAGGCTCAAGTTCTGCAATGTGCATTTACAGATCCATCCTTGTGCCTACCCCAGAAACGTTAACTAAAACAAAATACGGCATCCAGGTTGGTTTCTGGGACAGTATGGAGAAAACGTGTATCACCAATATTAAGATGTCTCCACTAGGTGCCAACAGGTTTCCAGACACAGTACATGCAGTTGGCAATTACCTTTAAAGCCATCCATGGCTCAGGTCCAATATATCTTCAGGAGTGCCTTTGCCCATATACTCCACCCTGCTTGCCTCTGTCCTCTGGGGATAATCTTCTGAAGGTTGTCTCTGCAAGATTTGTCAGCTACTGAAAGGAACTTCTCAGTGGTTGTCCCTAAACTGTGGAATGGCCTGCTTGGAGGGGGATGATCTGATAATCTCAGATTGTTACCTTCAAGCAGGATTTTGAAGACTTAGCTCTTCTGAAAGTCTTTCCCAGATTAGTTTTATTAATATGTTGTTCTTGATAGGAATTTAATTGTTGTTTTAAACTACCCAGAACTTAGGTGAATGGGGTGGTATATAAAAATTTTGAAATAAATTTTGTTCATTACAACTATTTTTACCCATAATACCCCCCTCTCTCTCTCCAAAGAGCTGGACGCCAAGTTAGAAGACAACTTTTAGCTATTGTGTTGTCTAAAATGTATTCACCAGACTTATTTAATTTTGCCTAGCTCAAGAAACAGTTATTGGAGGAAAAGGAAGAAGCTATAAACAGGCTGAGGACTGAACTAGAAGAAACACACAAGAATTCCATGGCACTAGCCAAGAGCCAGTGGCAGAAAGAAAAAGAATCCGACATGAAGATGCAGATTGAGAACAAAGTGGCAGAAATCAAAGCCTTTTGGGAGAAAGAACAGAAAGAGGTGTGTGGAGTTTGTAGTAAAGGGCACTTATTTTAGGAAGACCGTGTAAGATTAAACAGCTTCTGAATTAATTGGATCTTGCATTAAATTGTTCCCAGGTTGTAAAAGTATAGCTATATAGCAATGTTCTCTCTAGGTTACTGGTGCTCTTCACCTCTTCTAGTATATGTTTTTTGGGTGCATCCATAGCCCTTTTTAGAAGATCTCGGGGGCTCTTTGCTTTTGCACTTAACATCAGAAGTCATCTTAATCACTTCTCTGTAGCAACTGAAACTTTTGGAAGGATAGCCACAATTCTTTGTGTCTATAAAGAAAAAAAAATAAAGCTAAGCCTAACTTTTACTATGATTATTTCAACACTTATCCATGTGAAATCTAGTTTTTATGTTAGACAATTTCAGTTTATTTTAGGAGTCTGCATGTGCATATTTCCCAGTCTATCCTGAAACCAAAATCTTTTGTTACATATAGAGCAAAGACCAAGCTATTCAGGCGATTGAAAAAGAGTGGCAATATAAACTGGATCAGGCTTTGGAAGGAGGGAAGAGAGCTGTAGTGGAACTCACAGATCACTGGAGCCAAACGGAGCCATTATCCACCAAAGATGAATTGTTATGCCAGGCGATTGCCGAGGCAGTTGAAGAGCAAACATTACTTTTTCGGGAGGCATTGAAAGAAAAGGAAAAGATGTTGAGGGCACATGAAGCAAGATATCATGAGGGCATTGCCAGTCAGGTAACAAGGTTCTGCTTTCTTTTTGACTGGGCCTAAATAGGATGAAATCATGTGCAAGTGTTTGCATCGCTTGCATTATACCATTTGGATATAATCAACAGCACAATACTTAACAATACTTATTTAACTGAAAGCTAGGGAATGATTAATAAACCATTTTAAACAGTTCCGGTTGTTTAAAAAGTGTTTTTTTTAATTGCTCTTGAATTTTACTGTGTGCAGAGGTAAACCCTTGCAATATGATATGACAGACCAGTTGCATAGCTTTGCATGCATATGGCTACGTTTCTGGGCTCCATTAGCTTGCTTAAATCCTATCTATTCATTGGGAATCTTATACAGGCAAAAATGCCACTGAAAAATTTAAATCAATATTTAACATTGCTTTCATTTTGTTTTAATTGAAATGAAAGTGAAACCAGATTTCTCAGTCTTTGCTGGTTGAAGCTTACTTCGTTGTAAACTGCCCAGAGAGCTTTGGCTGTGGGCAGTATAGAAATGAAATAAATTATAATTATCATCCTCTTTATCTCTATTTACTATTTGTAGGTGGAATCAGCTCTGACAAAAGCTCGTACCAGGTGGCTGGAAGAACTGACTGAGCTTGAGGAGTACAAAGCACATCTGAAACTAGCCAAGGAAGAATGGGAGAAAGAATTTGAAATTGGCACAGCAAAGCAGGTAGCAAAGGACAGACTGTTTCTGACCAACAAGCTTAGTTTGTCGTAGTTTTATACCTCAACAAAATTCACATTGAAACATTGAAAAATTAGGCCGCCTACATCAGAAAAATCTGAAAATCTGTTCAGTACCTGTTAAACCATTATTTTGCTTCCAAACAGATATTGTCTATAATAACGCAATTATTTTGAGTGTCCCTCTCTTTTCTTCCTAAGCTTGCATCTGATGCAAGTTCTGCTTGCATTATTTAATTGCAATGTTATAATTATAATTAGAAGAGTAGAAACTATCCTATGTATTCTATCAAATGGCTTAATATTTATTATTAAAAACTTTTGTATGCCGTCCTTTATATAAATATTTCAGAACAACTTACAGCAATTTAAAAGAACAGTTTAAAAGCATCTGATAACATCTAATAACAAATTAAGAAAATAGTACTGTGTAAAACCATAAATAGACATCAAATAAATCAGATTAAATCAAAACAAAGCAAAAGTGACTGCAAGAACCATTAAAACTATTACTTTTTAAAATATCACTTAAATAAAAAGATTTTAATCTTGTTTGGCACAGATGTAGATCTGTTGACAATGGATGCTGTGTTTGCATTTTCTTCCCCTTATTTATTATTAAATTTCTTCCTCATTAGCCAGAATGACTCTCTTTGTCTTGTTTTGGGGCCCCATCTCCCACCCACCTCTATTAAATGTTTAGCTTTGCTTCTAGCTATAACAAAGTTTTGCCACAAACTACAGGTAAGTGAAAATTCCAGTAGAGGTCTATGCTAACCATATTTAGTGACACTGCAAGAGGGTGGAAGGAAGAGCCGGCACAAGAGGGGAAGAGAGAAAAGAGGAGTATTCAAGCTTCTGGGCTACTGATTGCCCATGGATCAGGCAGTGTGTTGTCTCTGCTAAAGTATTCATCCCATATCTTGATAGCACATCCAGTTAAATCTTCAGGGTATCATTGACAGCATGTCCTGTATTCTTTAGGTTTCGCTGGCTCTTTCAGCTGCTGAAGAGAAATGGAAGAAGGAGCTTGAGAACAGCGAAAAGGCTCAAATAAGGACCAAGGAGCTTGAAGAGAGGATCCATTCCCTTAAAAGGGAACTGGAGGTCAAACAGAACGAAATCCCCGCCATTATTAAAGCAGAACTGGCAAAAGCCCGGGCTCAATGGAACAAGGAAAAGCAAGAGGAGATTTTCAAGATACAAGACCGAAATGAAAAGGATTACCATTCTTTTTTGCATGACCACAAGAATAAAATCAATGAAGTCCTGGCAAAAGCCAGAGAAGACTTTGCAAAACAGAAGAAAGAACTGCTTGATGAAAAAGAGGCAGAACTGAGGCTGTTGTTGAGCAGGAAGCAACAAGAATGGGCAGTTCAGGAAACCAAGAGATTCCAAAATGAAATTCACCAATATGAGGAGAGGCTCCTTGTTCAGGTGGAACTCCTCTTGGATGACATTCACAAGGATTTCGTCAGATGTGCAAGCAGTATGCATACTTGGCAAGCTAAATGGAATGCTTCTGTTCAATCCAACCTCCAGTTCAAAGAGAAGCTGGCATTTTGTCTGCAGAAAGCATATAGAGACACAGTCTGTGTCATTCTAGAAAAAGCCAAGCAAGAGCGGAACGAGGTAACATTTATGTAGCTGTAAATAATTGGCATTTTGATTTATGCACATCTTTAATGAAAACACAATGTATTCCACAATGTATTAATTGATTCTCTATATACTTGTAAGAAGCGGGAGGACCAAAACATATTTTCATAAATGTAGCCTTGCAAAACTATACTTTCGCCTGTCACATTTTATACTTGTAAAATGCTTCCCTTTAAACCAAAAGGCTGATGGGGGGCTATAAGTGTTCCCTTACCATCTAAAGAAAAGGAAAATAATTATAGCTGCCATGGTGGTGCTGCCGTTGCTGAGGAGGAGCCCATGCCTCCATTCCACTGCCCTGGTGAGCAAGCGCCAACAGAGTCACCTGCACAGCCCTTGGCACCCCCACCCCCACCCGGACTCTTGAGTCCCGTGGCTGCCAAGGGCAGTACCCTTAGGAGGTGCCTGAAGGGTTGCAGCTAATGGGCACTGCCCATTTAGGACCTGCTTGGTGCCCACTTGTTTCTTTCTCTTTCCTTCTTTCTCTCTCTCTTTTTGGCTATTAATTCTGGTGGAATCTGGAAAGCTTGGAATAACCACCATGTGGTTCTAGCCGGAATCCTTTGAAATGGTTTTTACAAGGCAGGCATGCAAAAAGCTGGCTTTTTCTCCTCCTGTATTAGGTGCTGGATGATTGTTAAGAGACTAAATGAGACAGGAATAAATTTCTTAATATGGGCCTGACACTAACTAGGTTCTTCTAAAATGCTACACCTGTTGTTATATTTCATAAATAGTCAAGTTGGTCCACCAAGGATCCTGAGGCTGTTCTTTTGTCATTATTAAAAATAGGACTTTTAATAATGACAATCATTATTAAATGGTTGTCAAATGACAACACCTAATGTGTACCTTTATGACATATTGCAAGAACAATCAGCTATCTTTAAATATTACGAAAATGAAAATAATGGTCTTTCATCAGGATGCAGCATTTAAAAAGTGGACAATCAGTGGTCAATGTATTGATCAAGTTATATACTAAATATCTGGGCATGAGGTTTTATCACAATCTGTGATATGTTCCTGCAGCAGGCTTACGACTTGAGATAGGTGTCTCATTAGAATGCACTGCCTGGCTACATGCTTTCAGATACTAGAATAAAATACTATATGTCGAGATCTCTGTAGGATATCTACTCATGTTACAGAAAGATGTTTACACAAGTTTCTGGTTTAAAACCTTTCTTACTATAATGCATTTATTAAGCCTATCTGTGGCTTTTCTTCGTGCCCATGAGTTTAAGGCAGTTGGCTCTATTCTAGAAAAGCACATTAGGGATATTGATTTTCAATATTCCATATCAAATGCTCACAAGACCTGTTCACCTCTGCATTTTGGTCTAAATTTTGAATTCCTTCAAAATGCTAGATATTTGGAAAATTTGACCATTGCAAAACACTAGCGAGGCTTTTCAAGAGCTAGATTTAACTGCCTTCCACCTGCAGTCTTAGTTGGATGTTGTTGTGGTATGCCACTTGAAAGAAACTGAAACTCTGGAGCATGTCCATTTTGTATGCATTTTTTTTACAGGCATGAGTGCTTTCCTGAGTAGGATTTCTGATTGCTATTTAAAATATTTCTTAGCCAACGAGAGTAAATCCAACACTGAATTAGTGGTCAGGATTTTTTAACCAGCGCAAAGAACATGTAAGATAGTTCTTGCTGTTGTTTTTATAATTTTTATTATTTATTTTTCCATACTTAATCATTTTTGAAACTTTTTTGAGTTTTGCTGTGCCTGCGACCACACACTAAAAATTAAAAAAAACAAAAAGCTGCTATGGCCTCACAAAAAGCATTTTAAAGTGTTTTCAGAAAGATTTCACATCATGCGCCAAAGAAATAAAAAAATAGCACTGTTGAGCAACCAATAATTACACTGTGAGTGAACTGCCACAAAGTAATTCCCATGAGCAATATTGATTTGTCTGATGTCACTATATTCCATGCATTGTCACTGCATTCTGAACCTTTCTGTTGTGGCTAGGAAGGTTCCATTGATTTAAACGTTTGAATGCATTTTGAAGCTAAATCTGAGCTGCTTTTTGCCCCTGGATAAGAAAATGAGTGTCAGTTACTAAGTTTTCTCCCTGCTGGGTGCATGTGCACACACCCCTCATTATGAAAGGCTTTCTACCCTGAAGTCTGATAATATGATTAATCTTAGTTCTTCCCCCTTGGTTTTTTAAAAAGCTGCCTAGGTAAAATTTAACCACAATTTCTCTATTGTGCAAGATTAATATTTTAATTAGTTTTGAATAATTTTTAAAAGCAAGCTAATATTCCTTTGAACTTTATGTCTGCTGCAGAAACATGAAGATTTAGACTATAATTTCAAAGACTCACAGAACTCTTGCATGCAGAGTGGTGAAGGGGAGACTGGAGACAAAGCTAGACCTTCCATGTTTGACATTGGACAGCAAGTAGAACTACAAAGAAGGTTAAGAAAGTCCCCTTTCCAGGAGACTGAAATGGATATTGGTATTACCTCCTTTCTCCATTTTCTGCTTTAATTTTGAAGTTGCTGGTTCTGTTAACATATGTCTTCATTTTTCCATTGAGTTGCATGAATTTACTGTAATATTAATCGAGTAATATTAATCAATTTACAGTTCAATCTTGTATATACTTACTTGGCAGTGATCTGCACTGTATGCAGTGGGACATATTTCTGAGTAAACTTGTACAGTTAATGGATTTTAGGTCATAGCTTTAACCAAAGAAAGCATGGATGCTCCTTCTCAGCTAGACTTAATTGCTACTTCTGTCCACTTGTATTTGCACTGCAAGGTGCGCCCACTATTCTGTTGTCAGATGGCATCAAATGAATGTTAAGCATGTGGAGCACAACAGCCTACTCTGCCTCCGTGTTTTTCTGATGGTTGTGCAAAAATGTTGAAGTTGAGGCTTCTTCTGTGACCAGAGACTACAGACAAACTCAATTGTGCAGTTAAACTACCTACAGTAGTTCTTAAAGAGGCCATCATGTTATTTAGTGGTTACGTAATTCCATTGCTGCAACAATTAGGTCAGATCATTATATAGATGCAGGCTAGCAGAAAGAAGAGGCGATGATTGGCCACACAACACTTTTTTACTTCTAGTAGAACTTTGCAAATGAAAAAAATCACATGTGGTAGTTTCTACTAATCATATAATCCATAATTTGAATTGTCTGAGAAATGTAGAATGAATGTGACAGAGCTTGGCCCAAATCCAAAACTAGTTGACTTAAAAAAAAATAAAGAAACATTTGTATTAGGTGACTGGTGTCTGTTGTAACCTTCCAAAATTTCCAGAAAAAAACAGTTTCATACTCCAAATACAGGGCTTACCAATTCATGGTTTTTTATTTTTGTGGTTTTCTCAGTCCCATAAGTGACCTGTAACTTTTTATTTTGGCTGATTGCAGATTCCAAGTGTAGGAAAAGAAACCCATTATCACAAGAAGTTTGCTGTGAACATTGTCACCAACAGCTTGAAAAAAAGGAAAAAGAGTGCCAGGATTTGAAAAAGAAACTTGACAAAGCTTGCAAACATCTCCAGCTTGCAGTGAAAGAACAAAAAGCAAAGTTAGAACCCGTCCAAGGTTTGTATCCTTATTTCTTAAGGTAAACTTTTGATTGAATTCCCCCTCGCCCCTGTGGCGGTGTGAAATCCATTAGTGTGGCAATGGTAGGTAGCTAGTTCATCCCCATATTTACTCCACTTGATATCTGCATGTTTGACCGGCAGCTGTGTTTATGAAGTAGTTCCTTTTGCCGAATATTATGTCTAAGGTTTAAGAGTTCTGGCTTATTCACAGATTCATATAATCACTTGTATCAATCACAATGCTACAGATCTTGCTGCAGGTTTTGACACTTGCATGAGTTAGCATAGCAGCCCTTATAATAGGAATTCTGCTTGGATTGTAATCGTTGCATTTCAGCTTAAAGGAATTGTGAAGGTTTGGATCATTTGTGTATCCTATGACCTCATCTGTAATGAAATAAGTAATGATATGGTACAGATGCTCTGTCAACATCTTTCTGTTTAGTGCTGTATGGTTTTCTTAATGGGGTTAATTAGAATTAGAAAAGAATTCTAGCAGAGTTGAAATTATCATTTATACATGTGAAACTTCCAATTCAAGAATGTTAAAACTGCAGAGCAGCAAAGTAATCATAGCATTAAACGCTGATCTGAAAGACAGAAAAAGCCTTTACACGGTGCCAAAAAGGCAGTAGGGAAGCTTCCATGGCATTACAGCAGAAAAGGCCCAATCTTGAATTGCCACCTATCTTACCTGGGAAAGCAGGAGAGCCTGAAAAGGCAGTTTAGAAAAATTACGAACATACACATTTGTCTACAAAGAGGTTGTCTTTTAGAAACTTGGGTCCCAAAGCCATTAGGGCTTTTAGAGCTTAACCTAAACTTTGAAATGTATACTTTCTAAAAGTTGTGAAATATGCTTGGAAATGGACCAGCAGCTAGGTGGTGGGACAACTCCAAGCATTCTTGGATGAAACTGATTATCTGGACCCATTTCAGTCCGGCTTCAGACCCGGGTACGGCACTGGATCTGCCTTGGTCGCCCTGTATGATGACCTGTGCAGGGAGAGAGACAGGGGGAGTGCGTCCCTGTTAGTTCTCCTGGACCTGTCAGCGGCTTTCGATACCATCGACCATGGTATCCTTCTGGATAGGCTGGTGGGATTGGGAGTTGGAGGCACTGCGTGGCAGTGGTTCCGCTCCTATCTCAATGGCCGATTCCAGAAGGTGGTGCTGGGGGACTGTGGCTCTGCACCATGGCAGTTATGCCATGGAGTTCTGCAGGGGTCCATTTTGTCCCCCTTGCTATTCAACATCTACATGAAACTACTGGGAGAGGTCATCAGGAGGTGTGGGCTGCGGAATCATCAGTACGCTGATGATACCCAGCTCTACCTCTCGTTTTCCACCAATCCAGGTGAGGCAGTGGCTGTGCTGAACCGGTGCCTGGCCGAGGTAATGGGCTGGATGAGGGCCAATAAACTGAAGCTCAATCCAGACAAGATGGAGGTCCTGTTGAT